GAGTTGTCAACGTTAGTCTCTTTGGGAAGGTTGACTTTCAGGTTATGCGAGGATAAAGAGAACAATAAAACTCCTCATTGAGTTCAAGAATTGCCTTAATTAAAAGGACTTTACAATGAATAATTTATAGTAATAAATGACAGAATAGAAAAGGGAGAATAATGGATATAGAAAAAAATATAGAGAGAAAGATTAGGAGAGAGAGAGAGAGATAGAACGAGATATTAAGAGAGATAGATAGAGATGGAGAAGAAATAACAATGATGCTATTTTAGGAAAGGCTTGATAAAGCAAACAAATAAATTAAAGGATTCTGAAAGTGCTGGACCTTTATCTCAGCATGCCTCCTTAATTATTTATAGAATAAAATGTTAACCAACTCATATGCATAAGTATTCTAAATACATTAAACTCTATCAAATAATTAATTACTAATTTCAAATAAAATCTAATCCTATTGATAACCCAACTAACTATAAGTTTTAAATAAACTAATCATAAAGATTACATTAACTAAAAGATAAATACTAAAATTATAATCCCTATCCATTACATAATTCAAATGCTTCAATCACCTTCGCCTCTGAATATAGCTTTTGTAACATTTTTTACATGTTAATTTATATCCAAATTAGTTGCCATGTCATTAATACAAAATTTACCAAAAAGGATATCAACAGTCTTCCCTTGCTTCATTGTTTGAATGTTCCTTTTTATATTAATTTTTTTAACAAAAAAGTACACCCTTAAATGATCAAATTCAAATGCAAGTAAAAAGTGTATCTTAGTGTGTTTCTGAGTGTTTTTTTTTTATAATAAAAAATATATATTTAAAAAAAAAAGTAAAATTTTCTTTTGAGCGAGTCCATTGTTCAGAGTTTTCTCATACTCCATTACACTTCTTCCTATGGTTCTTTACCATGCAAATTTACCACGTTTACAAATTTTCAGCAGTAAAATTTCACAATTTGAAGTGGTGATATTCAAAGTATAAATTGATGTTATTTTGATAACTGAATGATGTGGTGTTTTTGTGCGCCATTAGCACCACAAAATATCCCCATAGTAAAGAGAATTTAAGTCATTGATTCACTCATTTAAGTACAAAAAGTCCCAAACCACCTGATAAAATTTTCAAGCCCCGTGATGATATTTCTAGATTATTGAGCGGCCATGATGTCACTACCATACCAATGATTTCACGTCTAAAACGAGTATAGTCACTTGTGTGATCCTTTTTACTCAAATTTTTTTTTTTAAAAAAAAAAAAAACTATTTTGATAATATACATTATGATATAAGATTCAAATTTATAGTGTAATATCTCACATCGTGTGAAGAGAGATTGATACCATTTATATTTTGTGTGAATGTTTTTGTTTCTATTGTAAAAAATATTTGGTCAGCAAAAATCATCTTAAATTAAAACGGTTATAATTTACTCACAAAAGTTTAAATTGTTATCATTAATTTAATATACATATATATTCACATCCGAACCAATCGATTCGTCCAAACCGTATTAACAAGGCCCGAGCCGTAGTTGCGGACCTCATGGTAACTGGTAGGTCACTCCAACCACTAGAACACCATACACTTTTATAAAATATTCTACAAAATATATATATATATATATGAAGTCTCTTAAACATCCCATTTATTTTGTTTCTTTTTTATCATCTGTATATATCTAATTATTTAAGAATAACAATTTTAACTTTTATTTTTACTTTCCCTTCTTACGTGTTATATAAGAAATGAATTGTAGGAATTGATTACATTTTTTTTTTGGGGTACAATTGATTAAACTTATATATATATATATATATATATATATAATTTTTTTGTTCTCTTCACATGTTATATTTTATATATGGTATTATGAATGTTTTCAGCTTAATTACAGACTTATTTCACCATCCATTCTTGTGCGTTGTTTCAGTAGGATGAGGAGGGTTCTGTAGTTGTCAAGTGCTTGAGACTCGGGGTGCTGATTTCCTTATCAAACCTTTACAGTTTACGCAAGCACAAATGAGCCGTAGGCAGCAAATGGCCGGTATGTAATGGTTTTATTCATCCTTTATTTGCTTAAACCACTCCTTTGAGACTTAATCAAATCTAGGTGAGTTTGGTAAGGCATTTCTAGGAAATTAGAACAGCTTTTATCTTGGGGGTTTAACCTAGGAGACATTGTATGAAATATATATTTAACTAAAAATATATTCCTTATACATGTTTGATAGGTCCTTAAATTCATACCGTGCCTAGGGCTGCAAGTTGGACAGGCCCAACCCAGTCCGGTTCCAACCCAATCTCAACCGGATATTAAAAAAAACTGAGCTTTGCCAGTAAGCCGAATCAAAATATTTTCGAGTCAAAAGCAGGAATGTTAGTTAATTAAGATGAATTTGGAAGCAAATTGCTGTGATATTGGATTGAACTTGGTTAGTTTTGGAATGGTTAAAAGATAAATAAAATATATATATTTTTGTTTGCCCTTTTTGTGAAAAGAGAATATGTACAAGTAGATTGCGTGCACCTTAAAGCAATTTATTCTGTGCCCCTCTCTTGCTCATGCTCACTCTTGTTCTGCCACTGTTTACTTAGAGGAACCTTTAATTTTTGTGGGGTGCAACAAGAATGAGGCCAGCTTCTTGTTTATTCACTGAATTTTGTGGTATTTTGTATGTTGTTGACATCGAAAACTTCTGAAGTAGCTAAGCATCAATTGTTCGATCAGTTGGATATTTCTTATTTCCTTGCTTTCTTCAGGTGTGCCGTGTGCGATGGATTCACCACCTATGTGCAAATTTAATGTCACCTTATGATTCTTGAACATATATTTGATATTTCAGGGGCATTGCACCATGCTTTATTTATTAGTGAAAATTGTATCCTGTCAAGAGTCTAGGGGACTCTTTATATATATATATATATATATATATATTTATCATGTCTTCATTTAAAACCTGAAAATATATTAGTTAATTTTTCTGTGTAGGAGAAAATGCTGAACGTACTTGGTTGAATTTTTCTGAAGTCAAAGACGAAAGAGTTTTATCTCAGGTGCAATGGTTTTCATGTTTCAATTTGATGCACTTGATGCTTATTCATGACAACCATGCTATTTCGGCTAATTTGACAGAGAAAGCGTTCTAGACTATTCGATCGATCATGAGGCACAGAGTAATTGACAAAATAATACTAATTTATCAACTTCAACTTTGATAAATTAAATAGATTAATTGCATAAAATTCTTTGAAGCCGAATGCTCCTCTGCTACCCGAGTGCTGAGATGTATCGTTGACACCATTAAAGGAAAGCTGTTGTTATCCACTTCATGGAAGCATTCGGATTCGGACCTCCCGTCCTCATTTATTCGCGATTCCCAGTTCATCATCATTGCTCTGCGCTAATTCTTCAAACCACTGCTCCTCTTTTGGGTTTTAGCTTTTAGACGTATAGATTGTGGATGTTGCTTGGACTCTTGATCGCCCCATTTTTTTTTTGTCTGGCCTATTTAGCCCCTTTTCTCTTTCCTCTTTTCTCTATAGGCGGTGACGGAGCTAGGATTTCAAGTGCGGGCACACTACCTTAAAAAAATATATATATACAGAATACATACATACATATATATATATATATATATATATATATATATATATAACAACTATAAAATTTAAAAAGATTAAAAAGTAAAAAATTATTAAAATATAAAAGGAAAAAAAAATAAAAGAACTTTAATAGGAAATAGTTAAAAAATTTCAATTGAGGAAGAAAAAAATTTGACTTTTTTATGAAGAGTAAAATAGAAAATAAAGAAAAAATAAGAATATAATTTTAGGAACTACAAATTTGAGTGGGGGCATTATATAAATTTTTTTATATATATGAAATTTTTTTAAAAAATTACTACATATGTTATAGGTTGTTGGCCAACTCAGGGGACACGTGCCTTCCCTAAGCCTTTATTGACTCCGTCCCTATCTATAGGCCCTCTTTTATGTCCTTAACTTCTACGGAGTATTTATAAAATATTTGTTTTGCCCTTAAAAAGAAAAAAGGAAAAAAAAAAGAAAGAAAAAGTCAACGCATTATCAAATGATTGTTAGATACATATATATTTTTTAGCATATTACTAACTTGTCCTTAAGGTTAATTGCACAAAATTCACTCTAAGGTTAAGAGGTTTATACAATTGATTTTAGAAATGTAAAATGATTTTTTATTTTTAAAAGTACCAATACTTCGACCTTTTAATGGCAATTTGAAGGAAAGAGGGTTGTCTTCTAGATATATATATATATATATATATATATATATATATATATATATATATATATATATATATTTTAATCCAGGTCAGTTATATATGGTAGAAGTTTAGAACATGGGTAGATATAATTTTTAAAAATAATTACACTTACATTCTCTCTATATCTAAATAAACACCTCCAATTTTAAATATAAACATTGAACTTCAATTTCATTCGGATCTGAATAACACGAAATGTTTTGAACATTTTTATTTGTTGATGTTATGCTAAATATTTAATTAAAAACAACAAAAATTTAATGGGTATAATAAAAAAATGCTATATACATAGAAAATAAGCTAATTATCCCTAATTTTGTTTTAAAGTTGATTTTATGCCGAGTATTTTTCTGTAACAAGTGTGATTTTACTTGTAAGAAGTGTTGTACCTTACGGAAAGCAAAAAACGCAAAAGTGCTCAAAGTGTGCATTTTTGGCCAATAAAAAGTGACTTACAAGTTTAAGCTGTCCACGTGTCCTAAAATATTTCGATTCAGCCGTCCAACTCTTTAAAGATCTTCACCTGACGTGGCCTCATCCCTCCCTCTTTCTCTCTCCTCATTTTCACCCGGACCCTCCACTTTTGCACTTTTTCTCTCTCACCTCACCACTCCTCCACGTCTCCCTCCTTGCTATCCTGCGCCTCGGTACCCCATTAACACCCCACCAATCACAGCCAATCATCCGTCAGTCCTCTATCCGGCGCACGTTAGCCACCACCCCTACCAACAACGCAATTCAACAGGAGTTGTATATTTTATTACCAGGAAGTTGAGGCCAGACGACTTACAAGCGAAGAGAGGGACTCGAAAGCTTTTTACTCCTCTGCCTATGGATCAACGACTATTCCTTACCGACAGATTTTATCCTCGCTAACGTGCGCTGCATCGCCTGTGATCGAAATCCAGCCTCTGATTTTCCTGATCTGTCAATCTCCACCGTCGGATAGTATTAATAGCCTCAGTTGCCTTCCCTGTAACTTATGGCTGAGTGATAACGTGCGCGACCGGAGTTTTTTTCTCTCTTATACACTCTCTGCGAATTAGGTTTATGTGACGTGAGGATTCTTGTAAAGACGACTCTGATCTCTCGACGAAGTCTACAGTCTAAACCCTAATTTCAATTTCTCCCTCTACTACATAGATGAGAGAGGTATTTTAGAAGTTTTCTGGTAATTGCTTCTGATTGAAAATATGAGCTATTTTGGTGCTTGGGTTTAAATTTCAGTCTTGATGGTTTTGAGACAGGTTGGTGCGCGTTTGTGATTGGTTGAATTGCGACTATGGAGAGGAATGAGATTGTGTGGGGCAGAGACGGTGCAGGTGGTGCTGGTGGTCGTGGCCGCAGCGGCGGAGGTGGAGGTGGAGGTGGAGGTGGGAATAATTGTAAAAGCGGTGATGCGTTTATCGATCGCAGCAAAGTGAGAATTTTGCTGTGCGACAACGATAACAAGAGTGCAGAAGAGGTGCTCACGCTTTTGTGCAAATGCTCCTATCAAGGTATGTTGGTTTTAGTAGTTTGTTATGAATTAATTACATGTGATTCTTTCTAAGTTGTTGTTATCTAATGTTAGTTTGAAATCCTTAACAAAATTGGCTTTTTTAATTTTATTTTTTATGCAGGGTATTATTTTGTTTAAAAGCAAAAAGAAAAAAGAAAAAAAAAATGGGTTGTAGAATTATTTTGAGTAAGGGTGGTTGCAAACTATATGATGTATTGCAATTTTGCATAATTGTTACTTTGTGTGATATGTATCTAATCATTTCTTTCATGTGCTATTTTTATTCCCGTTGATTTTGTTTTTAGATGATAGGTAGAATTATTTTGAGTAATGTTGTGTGCTATATATATCTCACCGTTATTTTATATGCTATTTTATTTTACTTGTTTATGCGTTTACCTAATTGGTAGATATTGAATCATTTCCTATTTTTTTACAAAGACACTTGATTCAGGGGGTTGTGGGGCAGCCATAGGCTCTTTGATTTATTTAATGTGATTGCTTGAGTGATATTTAAATTCCACTTTTTGTTTTTCTTTTTTTCTTTCTTTCTTTCTTTCTTTTTTTCCCCTTAGCTAAAATCTGAATTTTATGATTTGGTTCAAATGCAATTGAAATTAGGTTTGCATTTCAGCACATGATAAGATTCAAATTTAAGGACCCCAATACATTTCCCAGCCACAACTCCTTGACTCCATGCCAGATGTATCTAAGCATTGTTCTTTTGCATAGGAATTCTTTTTAGTGGAAAAAGCACTAACAATACATATCAATTTGTGTCCATTGACATGGACAGCAGCAGTGGAAACAACTTTTACACATTTTTTTACGAATAATTTTCTTGAAGGTTGTTATGATGAATGAATTTCTGTATTTTTTTCTTGAGCAAGTACTGCTGAACAATCTCAATTGCCATTAAGTAGAATGGAGATCAAATTATTCAAACAAAACGTGAACTGAAACCTGAATGTATTCTTATAAAAAGGCTTCTGCTTCTTTCAAAATAAGAAGAGCCTTAGTGGTATGGTTTTGTTTCTTTTGGATGTTTGTTTTTCTTTTTTATATAGCACACCAATATTGTAAGCATGAAGGCCTAGTCTTACATGAATTTGTTGTGTTAACAATGCTGTACCAGTGGCTTTTTACTTAATAAGCACAGTTTTAAACTTCATTCTGCATTCCAAGTCATTCAATCACTTTGCCTACATTCAATCAACCATCAAGTTGACATATGTGACCTTCCGGGAAAAATAAAAGTTGACATGTGGTTTACAACTTGTTTGTTATTGTTGATTTGTGCTATTACTATCTTTAACTAGAATTTTTTTTTTTTTTTTGTCTTCTTCCAGTATTGTTCTTATCTTTTTCTTTTATTGATATTATATAATTATATCATGTCTTGAGTCTCTTGACAGAGTTCCATTACACTGGTTCGATATACTTATTTGTGTATCTAAAAGTATCATACCATTTCTCTGTCTATGCTGATTGTGAATGACTGTTGCTTTACAGTAACTTCAGTGAGGTCAGCCAGACAGGTGATTGATGCACTAAATGCTGAGGGGCCTGATATAGACATTATTCTTTCCGAAGTTGACATTCCCATGGCCAAAGGCTTTAAGATGTTGAAATACCTTATGAGGGATAAAGAATTGCGACGCATTCCTGTGATCAGTAAGATTGACTCTGTCTATTTTGTCATTTTACTAAATGCTTGTCTGTTTTTTAACTAAATTATAAGCTGATCATTATGTTTTTGTTCTTTTGTTTTGCTAAGTGATGTCGGCTCAGGATGAGGTCTCTGTTGTTGTCAAGTGCTTGAGACTCGGAGCAGCTGATTATCTTGTCAAACCTTTACGCACTAATGAGCTGCTAAACTTGTGGACTCACATGTGGCGAAGACGGCAAATGGTACGTAATACTTTACTCTGTTCTTGAATTGTTTAAAGCCACTCCTCGTCCAACCTTTGTAAATTCTTTTAGGTATTTTCTGAAAGGCACCTAAGATAGATAAACCTGGAGTAGATGCTAGGCACTCAGGAGAGCCACTACCTGAGGATTAACTTTGAAAATCTGTGTATAAAATGATATGGTTTTTGACTGCAAGCATTCTCTGTAGGCTTAACTTTATTACCAATTACTATCTGTTTGCAATAAAGAAAACACTGAGACTAATGGCCACCTCCCTGCACCTGTTCTTTATTTATATGCATTCTTAATCCCTCTCTGCATTTTTTAATTGTATGTCAGTGTGCTTTTCTTATTGTTTCTCTTGTAGCAATCTCAAATCTCTCTTAAGCAACATTCATATACCCATTTCTTCTAACATGTATTATGCGTGCAGCTTGGATTGGCAGAAAAGAACATCTTCAACTATGAACCTGAACTGATGGCATCAGATCCTAGTGATGCTAACACAAACAGCACTACTTTGTTCTCAGATGACACAGATGACAAGTCCTGGAGAAGTGCCAATCCAGAAATGTGCATGTCAGCTCATCAGGAAGATGAGGTGAGTTTGATATGGTGACTTAAGACATTATAAATCCATTATTAGTTTTGAAATAATCAGCATATGCATCATTTAAGAAAACCCTTCTTCCCGATGACACATTATGCAAAAAAAAATGTGTCCACTGTATCGAGATTCCTTGATAATTAAATGAAAGTTATCCCTTTTGATATCTGAACATGAATATGAAACCTTGTGTGCCTTTTCCTTTGACATCCTTCTACTTTGTTCATATTGTTCACAAAGATGAAAGAATATGTTGCAAGAAAAGACTTGGAGCTAGAGTTTATATTTAGGGTAATGTGGTACTGAGGGCTGACCATTTCAAAGACAAATTGTGCAATATAATTGGGAGCAAACAAAAGAAGAAAAAATTCAGATGAGTATAAATTCAAATTCAATTTTTAAGGTCCCTTATTACTTCAGTCCATGTTATTTTTTATAATGCCTTTTTGCCACTTACCTTCTATTTTTAACTAATGTTTCATTTTTTATTGGTACATTTTCTAGTCTACATTGTACATATCCATACCATCTTTTTTTTTTGATAAGTACATGTCAAACCATCTTAATCCTTTGATTCTTATTTTGTCACCAATAGGTGCCACTCCTAATATTTTCTTAACATTTTGAATACTAATCATGCCACTCCTATCATCCTTCTCAACATTCTCATTTTGACGACAGTAATGCATTGTTCTTATTTCATTTTCAGCGCTCAGAATGCTTCATATAATATGATAGTTTTTTAAGTGACCATGCTATAGAATTTTCCTCTTTAACCTATTTGACGTTCTCTTATCACATAGAATCCCCTAGCTTGTATACAATTCGCCCAACGGTTTGAATCCTACTTTTATCATCATAAATAAAATCTCATAATTTATATCACATGGGTGTATTCACAACTATTTAAAAGATATTTTGCTTTCTTTTGCATCCAGCAGACAATAAAGAAATAAATTTTTACTTTTCAAAAAAAAAAAAAAAAGATAAATTTTCTCTTGATGCCTAGAATCCAAACCATATATTGTCTTTCGTTCACACTAAATGGGACCTAGTCATTGTAATTTCATTTTTTTTTTTGAAAATGCATGAACTGCTATTGGATAGTGAAATTTTAGAGGCTTGTTTTTTTAAAAAAAAAAAAAATTTTGGAACCTAAAAGATATGCATGGCTTACATTATGATCAATAGTTACAGAATATAAGTTTATGACATATTGTTTAGGGAAATTAACATACTTTGTTTTTGCTTGTTTATCTTTTCTGGGTGAGAAGGGATGAGATTTGAAACTTCAGTACTTTTATTGTCTTATTTTGTCGACACTACCTCCAATTAAAAACATAAAGGAGTATATCATTATTTTTTTACTGATTTGTTTATTTATTGATTTTCCGGAGGGGAGGTGCTGGTTGGGAGATTCGTCACCTTAACATCATAAAATGTTCTGTAGTATGATGGGAAAAGAATTTAATGTTCCTTGTACCTTATCTTACTTCCAGATATTAGGTCTTTCACATATATTTTTCTGTTTCATTCATTTATTTATTTTTTTCATAACTATTCATTTAATTTCCATAATCGGTGTATTTCATAATACAATATATATAATGTGCATGATACAGATGAAGCTTTCTGATACATGATTCAATAAGCTACAATTTGTGGTCTAGAATGAACTAGGAAACTTGGTTTGTGTCTTTGTGACACAAGTAACTGACAAGTACAAACTATTAAGAACCTTACAAAGTTCAAAAGGTATACATGATATAAAGGACTGAGAGTATGATACTCTATGATACATGATTAACTGTTGCTACTGTTTATAGTTAGAAATAAACTAGGGAAAAGACGCTTGTAAATAAGGCAAGCAACGAATAATTAGAAATTGACTGGAATGTTTACTGTTGAAAGCTCAAAACCATCACCTGATCGCTAAATTCTTAGTCCAACTCAACTGAGACATCAGATATTGTCTAAGTATGGCTTTTGTGGACCCACAAGTAGTCTATTATCATGTACATCCTGCTAATCAATATTTTGGATTTTAGTCGATGTTACCTGCATCATAATAACAACTATTGTATGATATACTCAGAGTTCAAATGATTGGTTCCTATAAGCTCTGTTTTCATTTGTATTAAATTCAAGCGATTATTTTCCTTTTCATGCATCAGCTGTTTTCAAAGTCCAAACTAACATTAATCAACGTTATGCAATGTGGATTTGTATTTTTCAGTCTAAAGCTGCCATTGCTGCTGCTACTGTAGAGCCTCCACTTGCAGATGCACTGGACTGTCGGCCTGATATGCCTGGAATCAGTGACCAGCAAATAGGTGAGCCGCTCCTCATGGTCTTGAATCTACCTCCACTTTGTCTGTAGTTTGTTTTGACAGCAGATTTTTGTGCATGTACATTTGAGAACCCCCCTTGGTGCATTTTACTTAAAAACTTTACTTAAAGAAAAGGTTTGGACATCAAATGAAATGAAATGAATTCATTGATTTTTCTTTCTTTTTTTTTTTTTTTCTTTTTTTTTTTTTGTCTATAGCATTTGAATTATCCAATTTGCTTTTTGTGACAGCTTTAAGAAAACTTTCACTTCCAAATGTATGGGTTCTTTTTCATGTTTTCAAACTCATTATATTGTTTTTGGTTCTGGCTCCTTTTTCTGTGGTTACTTCACTTTAAAAGATGGATTTGTTCCATAATATTGTGGTTTCGTTTTGATAGCTTTCCATAAACGTTGCTTTCTTTTAGCATATCATGAATATGATGCTTCAAAATGGTGAATTCTTAACAATGGAATCCTCCTGCACTAAGTATCATGTCTGCTGACAATCCTTGAATTAACTAGTTGGGGAATTAACCCTCCAATCCTTGATTCTATATGGTTTGGGGGTGAATTTCCTATGTTCCTTTTTCAGTGGTTACTTCACTTTAAAAGATGGATTTGTTCCATAATATTGTGGTTTCGTTTTGATAGCTTTCCATAAACATTGCTTTCTTTTAGCTTATCACGAATATGATGCTTCAAAATGGTGAATTCTTAGCAATGGAATCCTCCTGCACTAAGTATCATGTCTGCTGACAATCCTTGAATTAATGAGTTGGAGAATTAACCCTCCAATCCTTGATTCTATATGGTTTTGGGGTGACTATCCTATGTGCCTCTTCTGTGATCCAATATGGCATTCTATAGCTTAATACACAGACAACTATTTAGTTGTGTAAGGGGTTGCAAGTGAGCCAAGCTGAGGTGAGCTCTAGTGTCTTGGTTCCGTTACTTTTAAGGAGTACTTGGACTTGGCTCTGGAGTTCAAAAACCACAGGGAAGAGTTGTCTCGTATTTATTTCACAGGCTTTGGATCAGTTTGTCCTGATTCGTTCAATTAAACTAGCTAAGTTGGAGTTCATGTTTGAGCTCATGCTTGTGCTGAGGATCGACTCTATTCATTTAGAGACCATAGAAATTGACACTTGTATCCAGATAGAAGAGTACATAAATTATTATGCACACATTAATAACTATATGTAAACTAGGCTGTAAATGAGTTAAGCCGAGCTTGGAGGTGGTCGGGCAAGGCTCAACATATATAGATTTTGAGCTCGGCTCATACTCAATCAAGCCCATCTTAGCCAAGATTGAGCTTGGGTCAACATTTTGTTTGGGTAAACTCAATCTCAGCTCGGTGGCTCGTTTATGCCTATCAATTACATCAACTTACACAATCTGCATATATATATATATATATATATATATATATATATAGATGCGCACACACACATGTACCTAATCATTTAACTGGTGGAAAAAATCACCATTGAACTCCAGTTGATTCCGAACTCCACCATCAACCTCCTTCACGCAATCAGAAAGAAATCAAAATTCTACCATTGATATCATGAGAGGGGGTGAGATCAGATTCAGATGAGGGAGAGAACTTTTTTGACCCTTGCTTGATCAAGTTATTGTAGTTGTAATGTTGTTGATCGATGGGTGTTCAGTTGGAGCTTTCCTCGCTGGGTAGCTAGGCCTGTTGGCTGTGGTGGCTAGGGTTCTCTTCATTGCAAAAAAAAAAATGAAAAAGAAAAGAGACTAGGGTTATATTTAAAACATGATGGGATTTTGTTCTTGGAAATGGGAATGGGCTTGTGTTTCATTTTCCTGAAGTGGTGAAATTCTGTTACGGATTGTGTTATGTAGGGCTACAAATGAACCAAGCTATTAATGAACAGCTTGGGATAGGCTTGTTTAAAGCTTGGTTAGAGCTCGTTCATTAAGTAAACAAGAGCCAAACTCGAGCTTGTTTACTAATTAGCGGATCCCGAACATTGTCAGGCTCTACTCATGTAGGCTGTGAACACTAAGCTTGTGTAGGCTCGTATGTGTTTATGAACATAGGCTCATGAACGTAGACTTGTGTAGGCTCATGAACATACATTCATGAATATATGCTTTTTTAGGCTCATATAAATTTATGAACAAGCGAAAGCGTTCTTGAACACGAGCTCAAATTGAGATCGAACAAAAATATGATATCAAGGCTTTTTTATTAAACGAGTCGGGCTGAGCTGAACCTGGGATTTTCAAAATATTGACAAGCCGATTTTCGAGTTTAGCTTTTCGAGCTTTTCACAATTCTAAGCCAAGCCTGTGATGAACCCACAAACGAACAAGTCGAGCGACTCTAGCCCGAAGAAATTGAAGCTCGGCTTGGTTCATTTGCAGCCTTCCAGAACCCTTTGTTCATCCCAGACAAACAAATAGGATGAATACATTGATGGGACAAGACAAACAATATTTATTAGTTATACAGACATACATACAGACATACATACATACATATATATAGTTGTAGGTACTTATGCTAAGGTTAAGGTATACCGTATATCAGACTAATCAGTTTCCACATCATTTCTTATAAGTATCTAAGTCAAAGGATTGAGTGGATGGGAGAACCAAACAAGAAAAGCCTATTAAGCGATTGAATTTACTGAGCCAAGCTCAATCTTGTTTAAGCTGCCCATTTGCTATACGAGAATAGAGAGCTTGGGCTTGGTTCATCTATTCTTGACGAGGGAGATTGAATGAGCCTTACAGGAGTTGAGTTGCACACTCTTGAAGAATGGCTCAAGTTCATTTGCACCCTACTTGTATATATTCCTGAAAACATGTAGATATACATGCTTGTGAACGTGTGTACTAAGACGGTGTGCACTTTTAAGCAATGTAAAGTGGCCCTTCTTTGCTCTAGATTCTTTTATAGAAGTCTGATAATACCCAGCAATCCACTACATTGAATTAAAACAAAACCGTATCTGCACCACCTGCTACATAATGCAAATTTGATGTCATGTTATGGATATCGAATGCTATAAATTATTCACATATCTTGCACCATGCTGTAGCATTGATGATTTAAATCTCATCAAGGAAGAAGGGGCCTTTTTTTTTACTTGTCTACCTTTTCTTTTCGGTATGTTTTTTATGTATGCCATTTCAACCTTTGCTGCTTGAAACATCAAAGTTGATCAAGATTCTGGTAATTTTTTCAGGTCAGTTTTCAGCATTTTCAAATAGGAGTGAACTAAAGATTGGTGAGTCTTCAGCCTTCTTTACATATGTCAAATCAAGCATGTTCAAAAGCAATATCCAAGGGGTTGCTACTGTTGATGAAAATGTTCCCCAGCACTTGAGTACTGAAAATAAAGTTGGCACACCTGGTGGACAAGTTGGGAAAGAAACCCAAGAACATGAAAACAGAGAGGCATCACAAGACAATTCACTTGGAGATGACTTTCCAAGCAGTAACAGTATCCCTGAATCTCTTTCTGTGGAGACGTCATCTACCCCACCTGCACAATTGGAATTTATACAACAAAGGAACTCAAAGATGGAAGAGTTATCTCAGGTGCATATGCATCCAAGAAATGAGTCTCACTATGATGCTTCAGGTTTCCATGCGCAAACTGCTTATCCATATTATATTCCAGGGGTAATGAATCAAGTTATGATGTCATCATCAGCAGAAATGTATCTAAAGAACCTGCAAGGTCTACAAAACCATGCTACTTCAGCTATGTTGACTCAACACAATCATATTCCACAGTGTCATCATATACCAGGAGTGGCATCATTTCCCTATTACCCAATTAATTTATGCCTACAACCAGGCCAGATGCCTACTACCCACCCATGGCCATCATATGGAAATGCATCTTCCAATGAAGAAAAATTAGGTAAAGTTGACAGGAGAGAGGCAGCTTTAATCAAGTTTAGGCAGAAGAGAAAGGAACGTTGTTTTGACAAGAAGATTAGATATGCCAACCGAAAACGGCTTGCCGAGAGGCGGCCTCGTGTTCGGGGACAGTTTGTGAGGAAGATAAATGGTGTAAATGTGGATCTTAATGGGCAGCCTATTTCTGTTGATTTTGATGAGGAGGAAGAAGAGGATGAGGAAGGGCATACAGCTCAGGATTATTCTCCTGCGGATGATGCTTCAATGTGTCGATAAAGAATTAGTGTTCATCGAGGAAGGATCTTTCAGGATGGATCTTTCAGTTCCCTATGAGTGCTTCAGTGTGTGGGAATGTTGTTTGAGGGTCACAGACTCACTTCAGTTTTGCAACCAAATGGTTCCCCTGGATTTCAATTAAACTGGCCGGCTAATGTTATCATCAGTAACTTTCCTCATTTAATGCCAAGTTGATACTTTTGTTTCTCCTTGCTTTAAGTGATAGTCTTAGAAGGCGCTACCATAAGGGCCATTAGACAAGGTACCTCATGAAGTTGTGGATACCAGGGCTAGGAAGTTATGTAACACAATATTTGTTGTCTATATCCGAAAAGTTTCATGACATTGCCCATCTTGGATGAATGTTAAAAATGTCAAAGTTGTTGATTATGTACTCACATTTTCATGAGAACAATATGATTAATATATATATATGATCAGGCTTCATATGATTGGATTTATCAGGTGATGCAGTAGTAGAATGTTAGTGATATTTCCCATCAGTGAAAAGCTTTAATACGTAGTCTTTTTTTTCTTTTTCTTTTTAAAATTGTTATGAAATTATGGTTCATTGTCCTGATTTTACACTGCATACTTGGAAATTTCTGGATGATATTACCATATATCTGTATGAATTAGTTTAAACTCCTTACGCGTCAAATCTTCCCAAAAGTTTGAAACATAACAAATTTCTCTTCAGTTTGATGATTTTCCAATTGTGCATGTATTTAAAATAATTGCGGAGCATTCAAAATAAGGAATAGAAGACTCGATATTCTAGCTTTCAAAAAGTTTGATGAAGAGTCGCACTTCGTGTTGGTATTGTCCCATTTGAAATGTTGCCAAATACATCCCTGTTATGGTTAGTAAGTAATGTAATTGCAAGAAGGAAAGAGCAATACAGTATTCATGCAAGTATACATGTGAGCGACCAATTGGGATTTCCGTTGAGGGGTTCTGCAAGCAGTCAATGTATGGGGTTTCTAGTAATTGTTATTGCAGGATGGAAGATACCGAGTAAGAGACAGTGTTGCCTGCAAATTTGACATCGAGACAGGATCTATAGAGACGGGTAAAAGCGTTTACGAAAATGTATTAATTGAGTTACGATGTTCCTTCCTCAGCTATAACACACTTGTTGCCGTACAGAATACCTAAAGCTAAATGATAAGAGTACAACAATACTAGTCTTAGTGTTGGAGGAAGAACACATCAACTTCTCAGACATTTTCTTCATTTGCAAGCATGTAAGAAGAAACATGATCATCGCTTCCCATGGTTCAAATGCATCCTTCACAATATAATCAGAATCATGCATTGCTAAATGAATACACATTACAGGTAATGCATTTTGATTGAAACTTAAAATGATCCAAGCTGCACATGAAAGATCAACAAGACAATACATGAGGATGAAAATACGATATTGCAAGCATATGATGACAAACAACCATAAGCACATGCATAGAAAGACATTAGAAACACTGTATCCAAAGAACATGCATGCCGCTCAGAAGAATACGCCAAACTTCAAACACGGATATTCAGAGATCCAAGGCCAACTGGCTAGTGGGTCAGCTTAAAATAAAGGATCAAAATGATTGCTAGGACTAGGACTGCAATAATGGAACCGATCATCCATTTGTGCTTGCTCATCCTTCTTGACATTGCAGCCAGGACCTTCTTGCTCTTGCCAATATTTTCATCCACCCCATGAAGCTGCAAAATGATAAACATCTATGAATGTCTGCTTTTATCATTACACATCTTTAGACCTCAAGATTAGCCAACAAGATAAAAGGTCAAACCATGCCTCTTCGTTTCAGGGAAAATGGCATCAATGCTATAAAAACAAAACTCAATTTTAAAAAATATAAGTATAATGAAGCTGCACGCAGTGAGAATGAAACAAAAACTACATCATCATAGCGTGTGATGACATACTGTGTTATGGGCATGTAGCAGTGACTGGCGCTGTTGGTGTAAATCTTGAAGAATCGACACACCAAGCTCTTCAGTTTCCAACATTGTTCTTCTGCTTTCCTTGATTCTGTCACTGGACTGGTTTATTCTCTCGGTCGACATCAATAACCTTCCTCTTTGATCAGCAGATACCTGTACCGTCCGTCATTATTCAGTGTCCAATGGACAATACATATCAATAATGGAATGCAATCGGCAACGTAACAAAGAGTACCATCAATTCAAAGAAGGTAATTATCCACAACTATTTTTGTTCTTGTTCATAATAAGGAAACTATAAATATTTGAACAATTATTTAACATTAGTTTTTTTTTTTTTTTTCCTTAGTTGGTATACTCACACACACATGCCTCCACTAAGGCTTGAACCCTTGACCTCCCTTTGGGAAGTGGGGGCTTGGTACCGCTACTGGCCCGTTGGTAATTCTTTGACATTAGTTGTCATATCTTTTTTTATTATTATTTTTTTCTAGTTGGTATTCCCCCCCCCCCCCCCCCCCCCCCCCCCCCCTCCAAAAAATTGTTTGCGCCTAGATCCTGAGACGTGGTGCTTCATGAGGCACCAGGGTCCAAGTCTTTTCCAACTAATTGTTTGACATTAGTTTTCATCTCAATTTTGCAGAACATAAAGAAAAAGAGTCAAACCACCTGCTTTAGAAACACTAATTATGTGATGTGATCATTGAAAAAGGTGCCAGTTTCAAACACAGCCTAGATAAAATACATCTATATCAAAAGAGACTAACAGAAAGAAAGAAAAAAAAATTAAAAAATAGACGAGATTCTGTAAACAGGACAAAAGTTTACACCACATTTATTGTGATCTTGTTGCTGGCTCCTCCAGTTCTGTTTAGTGTTAATGAGGTTATAGAAGCTTGGATGGATGAAGTTATAAAGATAAGAGACAGAGGAATTCCATAATGCAAGATAGGCCAACTTATGCCTCAAGCAAGTGCCAGTGAGACCTAAAAAGTATAAGGTGCACAAACTCATGCACAAAAAATGCATAATTCAGTATCTCCGGGTTTTTCCAAGCAAAAATAAATAAATAAAGTCGTTGCTGCAGGGTAAGTCGCAATGATAATGTTTCAGAAGGTCTAGGTATAATTGATGTATGTGGATGCAATACCCCTCAATTGACTTTCTAAATGGAAAAATGTAGGATGACATCCAGTACTGGCAATTTCAATCCCCAGATATTTCATCCATGATCCAACCATCTTCATACCATCAAAATATCAAACTAAGACATCTATATATCATAACCACAGCGATTCTGGAAACATGTCCAAGCTTCAGGTTTCATTTCAGAGAAGGAAAGAAAAAAAGAAAAAGGAAAAAATTACTTGTATCCACTCGAAAGTCTTTGTGACTATCAGCCTCAATTTACTGATCAGGACACTTAATAGTTAATAGCAAGATCCACAACACACACGTGCAAGTGCACAAAAGCACACACACACACACACAAATACATACATATATATATATATATATAGAGAGAGAGAGAGAGAGAGGAGAGAGATACCATCATTGTATCTGCCATTCCTGATTCCAGCAACTCATCCCGAGCAGCCTGATTAGCATTAGCTGATGTATTTCTTTTCACTTCACTTTTCAAATTGTTCAAATCAGTTTTGTATTCCCGTAACTTAGCAAGAAGCATAGCCTTTGCATTTGGTGGCAAACTCCTTGCCTCGAGGTCCATTTTACGAATCTAGAGAATTAAAGAATGCATTATAAAACAAGTAGAATGGAAGGAAATAGATGCATTCAGCCAACTGGAAATAGTTTCTAAATTACCAAAGCATCAGCATCATCCAATCCAACTTTTATTTCAGAAATCCTTTGCTTCTTCTGCTCTGAAAGTACCAAATATACAAAACCACCACGAGTCAGAAACCATCATTAACAAAGAATAGAGAATAGTTATACATATTACATGTGTTTGAGTAGTTTGGAGAATCAATTTCTCTTATTATCCAATGTCAGCAAATAATAAACAACTAACAGATATTTGACTCGTAAAAGTAGCAACAATTAACCCCTCCTCTTCCCCAGCACCCTCCTAATCTTTTTACACGCAGAGGGATTGTCGACACACTAAACAATTAGAGGACAGTCTATCCAGAACCCTTCTCCACATATGATTTTCTTAGATGGGTGGATTCTGATCTGAACTCCAAGAAGATAAAGGTAGTGATACTCCTTGGTCAACTGTGTTTGCTGTTGCTTGCTGAAGAATCTGGAGTTCCTTTTATTTTTTCCCCCCAAGTAAAAGAATCATGAGTTGGTGTTACGAACACACAGTTAAAGTAAATTTAGTTTTCCCTTCAAACCCAATATACAAAAGAAATGAGGCCCAAAATATGTATCGAGATCTGGCTGCAGACATTGAGAGAGAGAGAGAGAGAGAGAGAGAGCTAAATTAAGAGATTTATAGCTTTGCTATTTCCACCAGCAGAATCGGGTTTAAAGCGATCTATATGGGTGATTTAAAGGCAACCCACAGCAAGAAAGCACAATAGTCATTACTAGAGGAGATGGATCAAATGCTCTCTTTCGACATTGGAAATGGCCACAACTTTAGCTAAAATGTGAGCTCTGCACCAGGTCCTAGTGCTTCTACAGAAGACCTACCAAAATCAAGTGAAATACACAACTCAACACACTTTCTGTCCAATGAAATTTGAGCAACAACAGGTCAGGCCGTCAGGGAACTAGCTTAAACCACCAGAGAGGCGTACGACCTGTCTCAAGCAGTGGGATAGGACAATGAGGCTGCTGGCACTTGTTCAGTACTGTTGTGGCTTTTGCTGGACCCTTTGTGCCATCAATACCATCCCACTGGGCCACCCACACCACACACAAAACAAGGGGGAAAAAATGACCTCCTGATCATTTCAGATTTTGTCCAATGAAGGAATGTGTTATAACTATTCTTTGATTTTCCCCTGTTTCCATATTAATGCCATTTAAAACAACACGATGAAAATAAAACCACTAAATCCTCAATGACCCAACTAGATTGAATTGTTTAAACCTAGCTGAATGTATGCACTGTATGTAAAGAGTTGACATGTCATATGAATCCATTTAAATTATAGTCGAGATAAGCCAACAAAAAGCAATAGAGTCATAATGAGGCTCTGTAAGTTGAGTAGAATTTAGTCTCATTTTCATACATTATTTGCAATCGGGATTTTCCAATATTTATATAGCGTCTAGAAAATTGTTATCTTTCTTTGAAGCAGCATCCAAGTTCTACTCATTTAGATGCTATCAATAATTAGCCATGAGAGAAAGAGGGGATAAGGAAGGTGACAAGAGATAAGAGAATATGTTCCCACTTTAGTCACAAACTTACAGTCAGATGAAAAGATTTATACAACTATACAAGTCGAAAGGGCAAACATTATTATCTAAAACGAGGCAGCGATGGACAAAACTGCCAATAATGTAGATGACAAGTTCTCATTTGTGTAATATGCTCGCTTTCAGAATTCAACAATATGATTTTTCATTCAATCCTCCTTCCTGTCAGACTTACAACATCAATTATATACATACACAAATATGGTATATATGCATGCGTGTGCTTATACATACATACATACATACATACATATATATATATATATATATATATATACATACATACACACACACACACAAGGTTAAGGTAACTCACCTCCATTGAGGAGAGCAGCTGATGTGCACTTTCGTGATAAATTGGCAGAAAGCTCGCAGTATTGGCGCTCGTATCCTTCAAATACCTGACTCATCGTTGCCCTAATCTCACGACGACCTTCCTTTAGAAACAAAACACAACCATTTCTATCAGTAATTCCAAATGTCCACAAACATACGTGGAATTAAATGCTTGTTTAAATTGAATTCGAAATCAATCAAACCAATTATCGAAAGCTAAATTATCATCAACATATAACATAGATCGAGGGAATTCGAACAAAAATAGTATTTATGTTCATGCTATTGAAAATTAAAAGGAAATTAATGAAAGAACAGATCGTAGTGTACCAGAGAGTGATCGTATTGTTGAAGTTATGGCGCGAAAGGTCGACGGAGTATGATCGGAGACGTGCTCGCTTGGTTGGTTGTTCGAACAATCTCGATGATGAGGACGTTTATCTTTTGCCTTTTGGAATGCACCTGAATGTCAATATTTACGACTCGCTGCCACGGAAAATCCATATGGGTGTGTTTGGTAGGGTTGATTTGGAGGGACTGAGAGAGAAAAGAAAAGAGGAATAGTGTGAAAATGTGTTTGGACAGCTTAATTAGAAAGAAAAGAGAGCATAGTGTCATGGGCATAGAGATTTGGCGTAGCGGCACAGCCCGTGTGACAATAAGGCGTTGCTTCAGCTAGCGCAAGCGCCCTGGTCAGCCACTACGACCTGCCCTCCCAAGGATACATGCTGACTGGTTTCGGCCTGTCATAACCTCGTCAGGGGAACGGTTCCAGCTCCCGACCAGTTTGTGCAGGGATGGCCAACTCCCTTCTTCATAGTCAAGTCCACGACCAGTGACAAGCACCTCCAACTGAACCGAGTCGACCTGCCTGAACTCTGAAGAGGTACCATCCTGTGGTCCTGCACGCCCCTTCCCTGGAACCATTCCCAGTCAATGAATGTTCTTAGCCAACCAGCATGCGTATCTTCTATACTCATGGCGTCGTTAGGAATCGGATCGTGACATTCTCCCCCACCAAATCCTGCGACGCCCTCGTCGCAGTGCGGCGCTGACTCCGCTGCGTCCAACATTCCAAAGTCTCTCTCCTCCAAGTGGTATGCTCACCTGCCCACCATCGCTTCCTTGTACAACCCCTGGCTGCACTCGCCCAATGATAGGGTTTCGGGCTAAAGGGACGCCCATTTCTTCGGGACGCAACCCCACGTTATGCCGCCTCCACGACACCCCGAGCAAACAAGCGCCCTCCGGCTGACTTGATACCCGCCCTTCACAACGGTTTGCACGCCTCTTGAACTTGCAAGAACTTTGGTGCGCGCGGCCCTCCGGCTTAAAGGAAGCATCCTTATGGGGAGATGGAGGCTCTCCTCCAATAGCATTGATTGCCCACCGACGCTTTTTCAGTGCACCGTCTTCATTCTCAAGACCCCCGGATCGACAAGGGGGCACACCTCTGTGCTTTTCCCCAAGTCCTACTCTGATACCATTTATCACGGGCCTAGAGATTGGGCACAGCGGCACAGCCCGTGTGATACCCCTCGATTTTAGAGCCACGGGTGATCAAGTCCGAGCACAGATCCGAGGGATATCAGACAATTAATATGTAAACAAGCAGGAATAAAATTTGAATTAAGAATAAATATCAAAACGCTGAAAGAATTCTAAAATAAAAATCCTCAATTTAAAATAATAAATTAATAACATTTAAATCCTTCAAATCTGTACAACTCGGGAATCCATCTAGTGGACCCCTAATAATTCCAACTGGTAAAACATTTACAGAATTAAAATCAAAAGCCAAAATAAGAAAGAAAATCCTATGTAATCGGAAGAGTGAGTGACTGTATCTGCATCACCACGATCAAACCCTAAGCTTGGTACTCACAAACACCTGAAAAATAAAGGTGGGTCAGGCCCACATGCAAGTTCCATCCTACTACAATCCGTACATAAACCCGAAACGCAGATACATCCTAGATAGCTCGGCAATATCTACAATAGTCCATATATATATAAATACACACTATAGGATGCTCACTAGCCTATAACATAGTTCAGCCTGGGTAGAAGGTGACCTATAAAACACACTTTTCAGCGGCCAAGTACCTAGACCTACCAGGGAACATTAGTTATATCCAGCTACTCAACCTTTGCGATATACGCACCCTAACCGTGATCAGGAGACTCAAGCTCGTATCACGGTACCATAAATATATATAAAAATTCCTTCCTAGTGCAGAAAGATAAAACAAATATCCATTATGTCGTTCAACTGTTTTAGTTGACAGGACATGCATCCATGTAGGATTTAACTGTTTTAGTTAATCCATTCCTTATGTATGAAGGGGTAGGACTTAGTTTTTTTTTTTATCTAATCCATCCCTGATATGTCACCGTCCCATCCCGGTACATATAATGCAAATGATCCACAAACGATGCACATTCATTAGAACATCAAATATATCCAGTGTCCGACATAATAGCAATCAAATATAGACAAGATTTTATTATGCATACAGTACATGATTAAAATCACGAAACATCCGTTTAAATTGCTAAAGTAATGATAAACAATTTAAACTATCCCTTTCTATATAATTGACAGAATTTAATATCATAACTCAGCAATTAAAAATCCAACATATAAATCTATGTAATTGACAGAATATAGTTTAATAGTTCAACAATTAAAAACCAAACAATAATCCAGGTAATTGCAGAACAGAGTTTAATAGTTCAACAATTAAAATCCAGAATATGCCCAGATCAAGTATGATAAATAAATGACCCTATTAAGCATCGAAAACAAGATTTATAATCATGCTATAATCCGTTAAATTGCCAAATTAAAATTAAGCAATTAATTTCTTTCCATCCGTTACCAGTATGCAAGGTTGTTTAAACTTCCCTACTGACACATCCGTTAGCATAAAGACTTTAATTATGCATATCAATTAGACCGATTTAATCTCCATAACAAAATTAAACTATTTAACCTCAAGTTTTTATTTAACTTAGAACAGTTTAATACACATCCATTAACTAACTTTTTAGTTAATTAAATCCTATACTTAGCATATCTAGGTATATTATGCAATCCAGTAAGTTATTGGGCTAATTTATATACTCTGATATTAATAAAATAAACCCAAACGTGTTCTATAGGAACAACACAACATTGGACCAAAGAGTTCACAAAGTTCCTAAACCAGTTGATGTAAAGTTTCTAGGTGTCAACCGGTTTACACAAACCGATTGATGTATAGGTTCTAGGTGTCAACCGGTTTACCCAAACCGGTTGATGTATAGGTTCTAGGTGTCAACCGGTTTACCCAAACTGGTTGATGTATAGGTTCTAGGTGTCAACCGGTTTACCCAAACCGGTTGATATATACTTTCCAAGTGTCAACCGGTTTACACAAACTGGTTGATGTATAATTTTCAAGTGTCGACTGGTTTACCTAAACCAGTCGATGTAAAATTCCAGATGTCAACCGGTTTCTCCAAACCGGTTGACATCTAGCCCATAGACGTCAACGTGAAGCCTCGTTGTCTATCTCTTCTCCGACTCCGATGACTCTGTTAAGGTTACTAATGGTACAGTTTTACATCCCAATCAACCCTAAACATTATTTTGGTTCTTTATACATAATTTAAACAAGTTAAAATCATGAATCATGCAGTAAACTTTAAACAAAAATTAAACATATACACATATAATTAACATAATGCAATTCAAAATTTAGCATGTACACATGGTTGATTTTAATAACGTAAATTTCCTGGAGTTTCCCTAGGAATGCACAGAACACAAGTTTACAGGAAGAAGATAGAATGAAACTTGCCTCTAGGTTTCAGTTTGAAACCTTCAACCTTCGTCTGCAAATTCCGGCAAACCTAATACATTCCCTTCCTCCTTTGGTCACTGCCCCTTTTTCCTCTGTTTTGCCTTCTCAAAACTAATACGTGCATAGGGTTTTCTAACCCTAGCAAACTGATTTTGTTCAATATATATAGGCCTTCATTCTATATTTAACCTACTTTTAATTTCGACTAATTTACAAGTCGGCTAAATACTCCTCATAAAAGAAAACCCTAACCCTAATATATATCCACGACCATTTAAAATATAAACTAAATGAGTCACCCAAGCATAACTGCAAATAAAGCAAAAAAATTAAATAAACAATTGACAAATAAATTATATAAACTAACCAACAATACACGTCAATTAAATCATACAAATAAAATAATTAAATTAAATCACACACAAACAATTCAACTATTAAATTAAATACACATAAATAGTAATTAAGCAATTAAGCAAATACAAATAAAATAAATTCCCCAAATAAAACAATCAATTCAAACAACTAAGTCATATAATCAAATAAAAATGAAATAAAAACCAAAATGCAAAATTAAATTTCCATTTTGTCCTTTTGAAAACTAGGGGTATTACAGCCCGTGCGGCAACAAGGCGTTGCTTCAGCTAGCGCAAGCGCCCTGATCAGCCACCACGACTTACCCTCCCAAGGATACATGCTGACTGGTTTCGGCCTGTCATGGCCTCGTCAGGGGAACGGCTCCAGCTCCCGACCAATTTGTGCAGGGATGGCCAACTCCCTTCTTCATAGTCAAGTCCACGACCAGCGACAAGCACCTCGAACTGAACCGAGTCGACCTGCCTGAATTCTGAAGAGGTACCACTTGTGGTCCTGCACGCCCCTTCCCTGGAACCATTCCCAGTCAATGAATGTTCTTAGCCAACCAGCATGCGTATCTTCTATACTCATGGCGTCGTTAGGAATCGGATCGTGACAATAGGGAGAGCTATCCTTCCCTATCCCTCATAAGCTTTCTCTCCCAATTTGAGAAGATAGGGAGATAAAAGATAATGTAGTAAGTTATAAATTCTTAATACCAAAAATACCCTCCACAAATCAATATAAAGAAAAGTTATTCCACTTATGTCCCAATTTTGTTTTCATCCATTATTTTTATTTTTTTATTTTTTCTTTTTCTTTTTTACTTTTGCTTTTACCCATTGCATTGAACTATCACAAAGAAATATTCCAAAAATATCGTATGTGAGATTTTTGAAAGGGATAATATATGAAGTGGTTATAAAAGGGTATGATAGTAATTTGGTCACTATCATTTCTTTTCTTTTCTCTCCTCTATCTTATCTAAACAAGAATAACTATCATTTTCTCCCCTATCTATCCAAACACGATTTAAAATTATTACAATCCTTTCTTTTATTTTCTTTTCTCTCCTAACTAATACTATCATTTCAATTCTTTTCTCCCCCGTCTATCCAAACATATATATGCCCCTACACGCGGCCGCTTGAACAAGTCAACCCCAAAGATCTTAGGGTTAGGGATGGCAAAATCACCATACCTGGCGGGTCGCCGCCCCACCCCGCCCTATTTATGGCGAGTTTAGGGACTCATTTATGTAAATGAAGAAGGGATGGGGATTTTATTTGAAACCCTAGCAGGAGATAGGGCGGGGGCGGGGGCGGGGGCGGGGTTGGGGGCGGGGGCATGGGGAAGGGGAAGGTAACCTGCCCCATTTATAGTACATTTTTACAAAATTGTCCTTACATATTATAAAATATTACTAAATTACATAACTATATATATATAATATATTCACTTCTGAAAGTGAAACCCTAGGGCATAGTTTGGTAAAGTGGAAATGGGAGGAAAGGGAAGGGAAGGTAATTAAAAAAGTGTGTTTGAGTAAAATGGGCTGAAGGAAAGGAAATGAGAGGGAAGGGTTTGGAGGGTTATGTATAGCTTTGTACAGTGATTTGCTTATCTATTTTGGGAGGAAATGGAAGGAAAGGGAAGGCAATGGCCGATGGAGGAGTTGTGATGCCAATTTTACCCTTAAAACAATATATTTTCAAGTTACATACAAGTTAGCAGTTGCAGAGAGAATGAGAGACGGTGCGCTGGCAGCTAAAGCTTGCGAACAGCGAACCCGAACTGGAACAACGGCGATGGAAACTGAAAGATATGGGTTTTGATTTTCTGAACAATCTGAAATGATATACCGGAGTTTTGAATTTTTGATTCTTGCAGACAGAAAGATAAACTGAAATATATGGGTTTGGGTTTTGAACTTCTGAATCTTGTAGTGCACAGAGAGAGATAGAGAAAGAGGGCAAGTTCAGAGGTTAGAACGACGATAGAGATGGAGGCGAGATTGGGGAGGCTGAAATGATTTGCCCTAAAATTTTCTTTTATTTTCTTATGGCCCAGTTGTTGATATAGTAGACTATATATATATATATATATATATAATAGAGATGGAGGCGAGATTGGGGAGGCTGAAATGATTTGCCCTAATTTTTTTTTCTTTTCTTTTCTTGTGCAGGTATAGGATATATATATATATATATATATATATATATATATATATATATATATTAAAATATAAAAGGGTATAATAGTCAATTTAATTCCCTTTCTTTTCTTTCCCTTTCTTTTCCCAAACATGATTATTATTCTTCCATTTCTTTTCCTTCATTAACCAACCAAACACGATAGAGGCTAAAATTATCCTTCCCTTCCCTTCCCTTCCCTTTTCCTTATAACTAATGTTATCCTTCCCTTTCAAACCCACCTTACCAAACATACCCTAGATCTATTCCTTCACAGCATAGAGAAAAAAAACATAGTCGTTGTGCATCAAATATCTGATCATGTTTTAAATTGTTATAATTGTGCTGAAACTTTATTAAATTATTAGGTTGAAAAATATTATGGCTGTGTTGATTTTGTTGAACTTGAATTGAAATTTTAAAAATGTTACGCAGGGCGGGGCGGGGCGGGGATGGTGGCTAATGTGGCGGGGCGGGACGGGGATAGGGGAGGGGGTTGAAAATTAAACGGGTATGAGAGTGGGGATGGGAGTAAAAAATTTGACTGGGGATGGGGATGGGGAAAGAGATCCCCGCCCCACCCCGCCCCATTGCCATCCCTACTTGGGGTGGACAAATAATCCTAATTGGTGAATTTGATTGAATTACTACATTTACAAATTGGTGAAAATTGAATTTTTAATATAACATACGGATCGAATCACTGATTGGGCAGTCAAAATTCGATTCGATCCGCGAATTATATATATATATATATATATATATATATATATATATATATATATATTCAAAGAATGTATTAATTAATGCTCATTTAATGGAATTTAAGGATGTATTAGTTAATGATCATATAAATATATGAATTAATGTTGAATTAAAATTTTATCTAATGGGTTATGCCGCTATGATTAAAAATTAATTAATATTGAAAAATTAGAAAAAACTCAATTCGTGGATCTAATTCGATCCGTCATTCTACGGATCTGATTCGTTATTCCATGAATCGGTGACGGATTAAGATTTGTCCAACTCGTTGAGATCAGATCGATTTAGGATTGATATTTAATCCTAAATCCGATCCTTGGCCACCCCTATTGGTATCTTTATCTAGGTGAGAGTTTGATTCACCAAAGGGATAAAGTGTGTGTGAGTGGTGTTTGTATTTCTTGAACATGAAAAAAAAATAAAAATAAATGTGAACTAGTCACCTAGGGAGGGGAAGATTCTCTGAGTAACACCCACTTAGGAAGCTAAATTCTCTACCAATTAGGCTATTGTATAATCTCCCATGAAGACAAAATCTAAGTTACATAAAGGGGAGGGAGACTGAGGAGCACCTAGCATGAAAGCGACAATCATTTTAAAGAATTGTATGACTTACGAGAGAGTTAGATAGTGGATCCTACATTTGATTGTATATATTTTATAATCTGAGCCCCTCCAAGCATTATTCTACATTTGAAAATAAATTGATATGGTATGTTTTTACTAGGTAAGTATACCAATAATGTGTTATGTTTGTGGTGTCCAAGATCTACCATATATACAAATACATTTTTCTACTAATCTAGGGCCAATTAGGAAATTGTCAAATGTAAGGACAAACTACTTCACAATTTTCTTTTGCCAAAGAGTAATAATATTTTAAGCAAATTTTCTTAACCATTGAGTCATAAATTTAAAATTAAAAAAAAATTAGTTTAAATTTATCGAATCAATTGTGATTAGCATTGACGACCGTCAGCATGTCTTTCAAGTCCCAACAATGCACAGATTCTAATTCGGCCATTTTGTTGCTAATAATACAAAAATTCGAATGCTTTATAAATTGGGTCGTCAATTATACTATTGACAAACATGAGAGCAGCCATAATAACATGTAACCAAAACGGCTTACGCCAATTAGTAAAGTAACAATAATTGTAATGAATACAAGCTTCCGCACTATAAACTATATAAAATTGAATCTATGATGAGTTGATTTTAGACATTTATAACAAGTTGGAGAAATATATTTTTATCTCATGGTAGGAGTGCCAAAAACCATATTTTATAAATTCTTATTTTTATTTTTTATAATATAAAATGTATGAGTGCATATGAAATTGACTTCTTTCTACATCAACTATAAACGAATCTCTGCTTTAATGTATATCACTGTGTGTATGGCAGTATTGGGGACCAGACATTTCAATTCCGGGACATTGAATTTGATACCACTAAAGTTTTATAAATATATATATATATATATATATATTAAATGAATGATAGTGTTTGACGTGTACCCAACAGAGCCGAATGGTATAATTATGCACAAGAAAACAAGTAGAAAAAGCAGTTGTTTGTTACACTTCTAAAGCGTGGAGGATAAATTTGGTGTGCCCACTGCATGGCCTGATCATTCATTTTGACGTGTGTTATATATATATATATATATATATATATATGTCATGTGTTTTGAATACGAATAATTCTGATGTACTTAGTATACTATGTCAGACGCAACAAACATATGCTTATTTTTAAAACTATAAATGTCACAAATGCTAATCTCTCCATCTATGAATTTAATTATTTTCTCATATCACCAAATGCACATTGGAGTATATTGTGGCACGAATATGTTTGGAAAGTGAGGCCTAACAAGTTTTTATCTTAAATGAAGTATATTTTGAGCAATGCAATTATGACAACATTTTGAAGAATTATTTTTTAATAATTTGTTTGTAACTCTTGAAAGTGAGATTGACTTGATTTTTGATAAAGACATCTTAACAAGGTGTAAATTTGAGTAGTTAGGATTAGAAATCAATTCAAAATTATGTTAGAAAATATTGTTTAGGGCCCGCATCATACTTACCTGGCTTATGTTTAAAAAGTCACGAATGTAATACTGAAATTTTATCAATGTAAATGTTTAGTCAACATTTTTACTACAGTAAAAGTTTTTAATGGAAAAATTTAACGGAATATTTGGAGATTATTAAATTGTGTACAACAATTTTTTTTTTTTTTTGGGGAAAGTATCTGTACAACAATTTGCCAAACACAGATAAAATTGCGTACAATATAAGACATCCACTTGCATCATTAGACGAAAAACGAAAGAAGAAGACAAATTGACGAGAAATACTCCTATAAAGATGTATAGTGAGAGAAAGTGAAAGAGAGAGAACACGTAAACGAATGTGATCCGTGTATGTAAAGTTGCAAATGGAAGGGTACAGGGGAGAACACGATTTCCTTCACTTCCCAACCATTTAACGACGTCGTTTTCCGATTCTTCTCAAACACGTTCCAACCATTTCTGTTCTCATTCTTTGGTCTTCTTCTCAGTCGATTCTCTCTTATTTCTCTCTCTAAAATGTCGAACGAAGCTTCATCCTCTGTATTGAACCTAGAAGGCCTCGAAGATGTGGAAGAATTCGTCCGGGTGAGTCTTTCCTTCAGCCTTGATTCTTAATTACCTTTGGAACTGATAAAACCATAATTCTTGTAGCGAAACTATTTAGCATCGTCGAGGACACTTCGATTATTTTTTCTTATGGCAAACAATGGATTCGTCCAAGATAATGAATTACTTCTTGTGTTGAGAAATTGAGAATGCATTTGTGAGTATCAATGGGACTTTTATTTTTTCTTTAAAAAATAAATAAATTGAAATGCAGGCAAATGAAGGAGAATCATCCATGTCTTGGGAAAGATTCAGTCAGGTTTTTGATCTGGTGCAGGATGGGAACAAGGCATTCAGAGACAATCATTTCGATGAGGTAAAATTATTGCAGTCTTATTTTGGTTGCCCAGTTTTGATTGCTTTTCTTGGAGGTTTAATTGTGATATCCTCTTTGCCCCCTTAAGCTACTTTCTTGTTGTATTAAGTCAAAAAATGAATTTGTAATCAAAAAAAAGAAAAGAAAAGAAGAAGTAAATATAACAGATATTGGAGTTTAATGTAAGGATTTGTTATTTGTTCCCCCCTATATTGGTAAGGTTCAATAAGCAATTTGCTTCTATCACATATGTACATAGGACTGACAATAGAATACTAAATTGTTGGATTAAGTGCATGTGTTTTTCTGTTTCTAAGAGAATGATTATATTTTGTTGGAGTTTTGTGTTATTAAGTAGTGTAAGATCAAAATTATTGAACTGTATGCCTTCTCTGCTAGTGAAAAAGCATTTGTCACATGCATCAGTCCTCAGCGTAGTTATTGTTTCCTTCCATTGGGTGTTTTTTGTCCTGAGGTAGGGTACAAGTTTGCACATGTGACGTTTCAGAAGTTTTTGCATGCTTCATATAGAAGAACGGTTCGTCTTTATTAGTGTTGCCTTGTGCTAGTGTTTGCCACTTTTAGCATGTTGATCAAGTGAGGCTGATTTTTCCAATTTATTTTCTTTTCCATTTGACCATAAATCACGATAATGTCCATGACGAGTCACCAGTGAAAGTCCTTTCTGAGAGACAGAAGTTTTCAAACAGGAACTAACATTCATGGTTTGTAATGTCAATGTCCTCTATTGTCATTTTACTGCTGATCGACTGAGGTTTTTGTTCAGGCAATCAATTTTTACACAAGAGCCCATAACTGTAAACCAGGTGATTCTGTTATTCTCAGCAATCGCTGTGCTGCTTATCTCAGGTGAAAGTGTTATTTAGTGTCTTTCAATTTCGTTCATTAAGTGGTTGAATGCCATTTGTTTCTATATGCATGCTAGTGCCTCTACCCACTATCTTATCAATGTGAAATTACTTTGACCATTGTAGCTAATTGTTCTGCACTGACAACAATTTCCATTTTTTAATATTTTTCGCTAAATCAGGATTAGCCATTTTCTGAAACACAGACCTCCATCAGCTTCTGAATATGGACCTTTGAATGGGCTGGATCCTACAACATATGCTGCAGTATGTCCTATTGCCTCATTACTTCTGCGTGCAAAGGAATCCCATTTCCCATGTCGCATGCATTCTAAAATGGTTTTAACTATTGTTTCAGCTTGCGTTAAAGGATGCAGAGAAGTTGTTGACCTTTCGAAGTAATTCAATAAAGTCATATGTTTTGAAGGCCAATGCACTCATTCTGGTAAGCTTTCAAATCCCACAAACAACAACAACACACACAAATACACATGTATTTGTGTGGTTTTTATACGTATGAATTTGAACATGACGAGGAAGCTAAAGTCCTCTTGCGATGGTGATTTTATTTATGAAAGCATATTTGGTTGATTTTTCAGCCAATATAAAGGGGTTTTTCTTTTGCACTTGAACAAAGTGAAAATTATGATTCATTATTTACCATTATGAGATTGAAAGGGTGCTAGAATCATTTGTTCTCATCGCTAGAAATTTTAGAATCTGTGTCCTTGATTATGCACCAAATCAACTATTTATATATTACAAGCTTGTCAGGTCATTAAGATCTGAGATTTGCTGATGTAAAAGCAGCAATGTTGCTTGCATTGCCTGCTACTACATATTTATTGGAGAAGGTGCTCGAATTTATATATTTATTTTTTTATTTTGGATTTTTTTCTAGGCTTATTTGATTTTGGATGATATATAGGTGTTTGCCTGAAGCATATCCTAAGAAGCCATTATGCTCCAGCGTGGTGAACCACATTTTAAACTGAAATTCTTTTCTCTCTTCTGATTTTGCCAAATATGATAGTGGCACAATGATTAATTAGTGTATTTAAATATTTCAATTTTTAGGGGGCTAAACAACTTTCTATATTTAACTCAATGGAAGTTGTAGGTTGATAGGACTTTCTTGGATTCTAGTTTTCATGGGAGTGGTGAGGGATTCCACAAAATTTGCCAACATGGCAGATAGCATGAAGTCGATCCAGAGATGACAATGTTGCAGTCTTTTGAGATTTTCTGTGTGGAATTTTTTTATTAATATTATCTTTTAGTTTTTGTTTTAAAAGAGCGATAGAAGCTACATATAATAAATGTTAACTTACAATTGTATGTATTAACCAATGGAAAATATTTACTGAAAAATAGAAAGCATTCTCTAACATACACTCTTATTAGGGGGTAAAGTAGCTTAAAATAGTTTTTATACATATATTCTACTGGCACCAGTCTAGCTGAATTTTATCATTTAAATAATTAAATGTTTAATATAGTAAAATCTTACTTGTTAGCTTTGATATTGTTTTTAATAAATAATATCACCCTCGAATCCTTGTTTAAAATATTGACCTGTTTGTTTAAGAGCGTAAATGGTACTTTGTTGCATTATCATGCAGTGAGCGAGTTAATCAGTTTGTTTTTTTTATATCCGGTTTATATTTTTGTAAAACAAGACTTCCCTTTAAAAGATATACTGTCATCCATTCATACCAAGGAGTTTTGTCTCTCAGTGAAGAAAAGCATTCTGCTTTTCTCCCTTTGCTTAGTTCATATGTATTGTTTTACACGAAAAGAGTATTCCAATATCTGAAATATTTCTTTATTTGACGACTTGAAATCTAAAGAGTGTATTTTATATCTTTGTATTACTCATGTCATGCCTACCATTTGAATAGACCGTGCTTTCTTGAGGATGATGAACGACAACTTAAGAAAGAATGGAATATAAGAACTATCAAGGACAAGATGAGGGTAGTTATAAGAGATGGTTTGGTCAAGCTCAACATTTATAGACTTGAAACAGTTGTTTTTGCTTCAAGTTGAAGGCATTTAAAAGAGAAGACCAAAATGAATGTGGGTGGGTTGAGTCCATGAGAAAAGATGCTATGATCTTATAGTGCTTTAGAAAAAACGAAATGAAGAAAAAGTAATTTTTATAACTAAACCAAGTAGTTCGTATAAGGCTCTAAAGCGTTGGATATCATAGATATATGATACAATACTCATAATAATTAATTTACTAATGATTATCTGATTTGGCAGTGAAACTGCTCATCCCCACATAAATTAGTTGTACTCCTGTGTGCTTTTTCAACATTTATATGAAGGCATATTTTTTATTTGGTGGCTACAAGCTGAAAAGAGAATTTTTAGAACTTTATCATCATGGTTTCTCTTTTTCCATTCTTTTCTATCATAAGCCACATCTCCTACTAGATCTATTTTCTTTATATCATTTCTTGTCACTTCATTCCATGTTAGTTTTGGTCGACCTCTGTCTCTTCCCTTCTATGGAAATCAATCTACCTCTCCTCAAGGGTACATCTGTAGGTCGGCGTTGAATATGGCCATACCACCTTAGTCTACTCTCACTTATTTTCTCGCTAATAGGCGTCACACCTAATTTCTCTCTAATCCTTTGATTATTAATCTCATCATTCCTAGTAATTCCTAACATCCATCTTAACATCAACTGGATGCGTTGTTCTTTTTTTTTTTTTTTAACGCCTAACATTCCGCACCATATAAAATAGCTGGTCTGTTGATGGTTCTATAAAGTTTCCCTTTTAACTTACCTGGTATACGTTTGTCGCATAGAACCCCACTAGCATTCCTCCACTTGGTCCAACCTATTCCATTTCTACTACTTACATCACCATCAATCTCTCCATCTTTATGTTGATTTACATATAGTTTTTTTCAAGTTACTTGCTGGGTAGATATTACCTCCATTACATAAAAATTCACCTTACTCTGAATTCGCAGCTAGAAAAATATGAGCTGGCCAAGGATGTTATCCTTTCAGGCCTTCAAATTGATACTTCAAGGTAATATATTATTGTGAAATTGGGGTTTTCCCTATTTTTGAGTTTAAATTTGAAGTTATGGATACTATTACTTGTGTATAACCCATTTGTTATTCAATCTTTCACATGTGAATTTATTTTATGTTTGTTTCTGTAATATACAGCAATCTTCTTCGGGCTTTTCTTAAAAAATTGGAGAAATCAATGGTCAGTATAACCAGAAAAGGAAGCCATGGTCGACCAGAGCGCGATGATGACTTTGATTGCACTCTTTGCTTGAAGCTACTATATGAACCTATTACAACTCCTTGTGGCCATTCTTTTTGCCGTTCATGCCTATTTCAATCAATGGACCGGGGTGATTTCTGTTTCTTTTCCTATATTTGAATAGAACCATAATGTTAATCTGCTTTTTACTGACCGTTGAACAAAAAATGCTAGGTAATAGATGTCCGCTGTGCCGAACTGTTCTATTTATTAGTCCTAGAACATGTGCAGTCAGGTGAGTTGCTTACATGATAATTATTATTTTGAATGCTTGTGTCAGCAGTTTAGCACATGGACATGTTTTCTGTCCTATTATCCAAGTTTCTTGCATTGAGCGCATGTAGTTGGTTAAAAAAGTGGCTATCCATAACACGTGTTTATAAACATTTAGCATGTAGGCCATGCCATCTAAAACTAAGTTTGTGTGGCATCCGCATTCACTATAATTTTATAGATGTATAATAAAGGAAAAGGGATGTAGATAAGGAGAAAAATATGATTACTTAATTGGGTCTTTCTTTCTTTTTCTTTTTAATTAAGAGATCTCTTTGGTGAGACTGTTAAATTGATTGTTATTGTCCATGACAGAATGTCAAACATCCAGTATAAGTTAGTGGACACAAAAATATGCACTTTGAAGATAGTCCATTGCCTTATTTGTTTGTATACATTTTGTACAATTCCAGTGGGTTTATATCAAATCTTGTTTTATGTTTTATAAATTGTGTAATATTTCAATGATTTTATCAGTGTGACACTGAACAACATAATACAGAAGATTTTTCCTGAAGAATACGCTGAAAGGAAGTCGGAGCATGACAGTTCGATGAACTTTGGTGTTGATTGGATGCCTCTTTTTGTCATGGATGTTGTCCTCCCATGTCAGAAGCTTCAACTCAACATATTTGAACCCCGGTACAGACTCATGGTGAGTTGCTTAAATTGCTAGCTTCACATTTGGTTGTTTTGGTTGCTATAAGAAATGAATGTCATATTTAGGTTCTGTCTACGTGTTGAGGTTGAATAATTGACTGATAAGTGGATTAATTAAGCTTGTCCAACAGGGTTTTATTGATAGTACAAATGTTAACAGGACAAAATGAGAAATGTAAGGAAAAGAAGAATAAAAGTTGAAGACTAAGTTAAGCATAATACATGGGGTTAAAATTGTATTACACAATCCACAAAGAGCATGATTACTGAAAAAAGGGTCTGGCTGGGGGAGTCTATTATGGATGCGTAATTTTTTAAGTCCCACTGCAGGTGTGTATTGGGGCCGTGTTTCTTAAATGGGGGTGGGAACCTCGCAATTGACTAGACCTTTTGGGCATGAAACCGGCCCTTTGACAAATCACATAAGGATTTAAAGTGTTCTCATTAAGGAAAAACGCGAGAAAGGTTCTAATATTCTTATTCATAACCTTAAAATAGGTCAAAGCCAAAAGCATAAAAATACAAAGTTAAACAATGTGAGTTGGACTTTGACAAAAACTAGTTGATTCTGGAGTTGTTGATTGGATTTTCTGTCTAAATTAACATTTTCAAACTTACATCACATTACCAATTTTGTTCCATTTTTTTATGGAACATCTCATAATAATCAATTTCTTATTTTATGTGCATGACAGGTCAGAAGGATAATGGAAGGAAATCGTCGAATGGGAATGGTAGACTATCGTGGCTGGTCCTTTTCTTTCCTTTTCCTCTTGAGGTATATTGTAAGGTCCTTTATTTTGTCATTGTAACTGGTTGTGATTTGTCTATTAATGATGTAGGTTATCATTGATTCTACAACAGGTTCCATAGCTGATTTTGCTTGTGAAGTGGAGATTACTGAGTAGGTGTTTGGTTTTATATACATTTCCATATTTTTCTTGATATAAAGATTTTCATACTTATATGTGGCACTGTTTTTGCTAATTTAGTTACTTCTCTGTTTCCTTTCATGTAGGTGTGAGCCATTACCTGATGGACGTTTCTTTCTTGAGGTGAAATATCACTAAATTTTCCTGCTTATATCATTCTGCCCCTTTGCATACCCTGTTTTATGCCAGTATGTTACTGTTTTTTAACGTGATGAATGTTTCATCTCATTTTACTTGTATATATTTGGGGTCTTATTATTAGTTTCTTTAATCTCTCTTTCCAAATTTTTAATGCCATGTTGTGAAACATAAACAAAGAACATTTTTGGTGGTGAATAGCTTTAGATCAGAACGTTGTTATGTTTCTTCTTAGAAAGCAAGCACCTTTTGAATACTCAATAAGCAATTGCACATCACATTATTGGTTGGAAATTTCATGTCGTCCTTTTTTCTAGTAATGAAAACGTTCTATTTTCTTTTTACAACTAAATCTAGGGTGTCCAAGATTCACGCTATTTGTGTTAGCAATGGAGTAAGTTAATATTTTTTTTGGTTGCAAAGTCTATATCTTCATGGTGAAGGAAAGAAACATTCTCGTTTAATATTGGAAGTCGCTTCTAGTAGGACCACAAATACTGTGGTTGGCCATTGCCTGGAGTAATAGATAGTTCTTTTAAGCTAAATATGGACAAGAAATAATCACATCATGAAGACATTGATTTGTTTTTTTAGTCTTTTGAATGTTTATAGTTGAATTACTTGCCTACTCTCATGAAATGTATGCATAGTTCAGTAGCTCAAGCTTTCCTACTAACACTAGTGTTTATCATCCTTTTATCTTCGCAATTTGTGACACATCCAAAATCCTTCTAATTAGCGTTAAGGTGATCCTGAAGCTCCAAGTACGAAACAGGAAAAAATATTTTGGACGGACCTTGTTCCATGCTAGCATAAATTATTTGAGTGAAGTTCATTTCTTTCAAATTCTGGTTTCCACTTGTTGGTTATCATTCTGATTATTCGGGAGGATAAAATTCAATGCAGGTTGAAGGTCGTAGGAGATTTCACATCCTTCGAACTAGGGATCAAGATGGGTTAGTTTAATCATCCTTGAATGTCATGTATCTGTGCTGATGGCTATTCATATAATCAAAATTATATCCAGTTATCTGATTTTTTATTTGGTTCTATGTTGTCAATGATTTAAGGTATCGGGTTGCTGAGGTTGAATGGTTACATGATATATATCCTCCGGAAGGGACAACAGAGAGAGCAGATGTAAGTGTAATGCAATTTTAGCCTGCATCTATCTCTTTTGTTTTATTTACACTAGATAATGAGAGATTTTTAGGCATATTAGACTGCACAGTTCTAATAGGATTTTGAGATTCTGGCCTCAATGCTTAAAAATTAAAGCAAGGGCCATGTTGGGCATATGCTTTGCATGCCAAAGAAAGATGCACCTTTTTATGCCTTAGCTTAAAAGGCCTATGCTTAATGTGACTGGTTTTATTTTAGGTTTTTGGTAGTTCTTTTCTTTAATTTTCAAGTGACCAACGACTTGTCTGTGTGTGTGTGCTTTCTTTTTTCTTTTAAATTTAATTTAATATATATTTTTTGTTGTTGTATACCGTAATGTCTTTATTATTTTTTTTTGGTAAATATGTTTTAATTATTTTATCATTTCTTTATTATTCTACTATATACCTACTTTTTGATTGAGCCATGTCTTGCCTCTTTTTTCACTTTTATGTACCATTTTCATATTAATTACTCAGTAATAGAATATGAATGTTTATTTTCTTCATTTAACTCTTGTAACATCTATTTTGGTAACATCTATTTTTGTTCTTTCGTAGTACATGTTATTATATAGGTAGAAATACATACATAAAAAAATAAAAAACAACCAAAAGGCTCAAGCCTTCTGCCTTGAGAGGCATAGGCTTCACCTACACACATTTGCCTTTAAAAACATTGGTGAAAGTCTGTTATGGATGGGAAAACTTAAATGAGAAACATGGACCAGTTCTGCAAAATGGATAAGTTAGATTTTTCTGAACTTTTAGTTTTTTGGTATTGTTAATGTCGAAATAAAGTACCTAAGCACCAAAGCTCATTGCCCAATGTTTCTGTTAATCATGCGTGTTGCAAGAACACTGCTAGAGAAATACCAAAATTTATCCACATTATAATTACAATGATAACTTTTTATTAATTTCTTAAGGCTTTCAGTTACAGGAAATGACGAATAACGTGGCACAACATGCTCTGTCATGGATGAGGAGTGCACAAGATGCAGCACAACAAGGTAAAACATTAGAAGGGATGATAAGATGAGAATCAACCTTGGAATGTTGTTTTTTACTGTTTTTCGGATGACATAGTACTATTGGATATTTCTAAGGGAGCTTTAGCAATAAAATTAGTAACGTGGAGAAATTTGTTAGGGTCAAAAGATTAAAAATTAGCAGGACTAAAACTAAATATATAAAATGAAAATTTTAAAAAGTTTCAACGTTTAACAATATAATGATAACAATTCAAAACCAAAGGATTACCCAAAATAATTATTTTAAATATTTTTTTGATGAGTAATTATGCTCAATATTTAAGTTCAATAATACAATAAGATGGAGAAATATATGATGATATAATAAGTTAGATTGGATTAGGTTAGATGAAATGGAGACAAACTAATGGTAATTTATGTGAAAAAATTATCAAATAAGTTAAAAAGGAAATTTCTATAGGCCAATTATTAGACAATCTATATTATATGTTGTAGAATGTGCAGCATTAAAAAAGAAAAAAGAACAATGCATTCATGTAGACAAAATGAGGTTATAAGATGGATGATAGGAGTGATTAGAAGGGATATTGCTAATAATCAATACAGGGGGGAGAAATTAGGGTGATACCTATTAGGGATAAAATAAGAAAATGGGTTTAGGTGGTATGAATGTATACAATGTGAACCTATAATCAATATAGGGGGGAGAAATTAGGGTGATACCTATTAGGGATAAAATAAGAAAGTGGGTTTAGGTGGTATGAATGTATACAATGTGAACCTATAGATACACCTGTTAAAAAGGAAGATTAGATTATATAGAAGGTAAGAGACAAAGAGGCAGACCAAAATTAGCATGGGATGAATTTTTTAGAAATGGTTTTGGAAAATTAAATATAGTAGAAAACATTACATGTAAGAAAAAAGAATGGAAAAGAGAATTCATGTGGCCGAACTGTTCGTATAGGATGAAGACAAAGATGATTATGATAATCCATATTATTCTAGGTAATAAGGCAAATAGTCCAGTTAATTGGGAAACTATATCGTCGAACCCATTGCTTTGATGCGAGTCTTTTATTGACCAAACATCAGTTTGTTATCCCATTCAAGCACTAGATTTCGAGTCCATTAATGGCAGCTAAAACTCGTTTCTCTAAAACGTGGTCATGTTTTTGTTAATTTAGATGAAAATTCTCTTGCAATTTGGTGGGAAGTTGCATTCATCACTTCCTTCTAGTGTGATGAGAACATCATAATTACTTTTCTTGTTTTTTGGGTAAAAGTATAGTTAATGTTGTTATCAGTTGAAGCCATATTTTGTCCCTTCTTTTTGGGCTCCAAAGGCAACAAATTGGCTACATAAAGCAAGTGTAGCTTTGCGCATTACAATTAGCTTCCCAACTCTGACGAGGTGACACTTCATTCCAATCGTTGATACCTCCTGGAGACCATATAGCAAGCTAGCTACCACGTTATAGGCCACTTTGTATTACATCCTTCTTGCCAAGAAATTGTTTTCATTGCTACAATCTGGACACCCCATGGAATCTCTTGCTTGAACATATATTTCCCCAGTCACACGAGCACAATAGACCAGTCCTTCCTTTATTGTGACGTTTTCACTTTGTAATTGTGGTTCATGAGATATAGAGATCATTTGCAGATCGAAGAAGACTTTTGGAACTCTGTAATGCGGAAGTGATGATGCCCACAACACAGGATCCTGAGCGCTTCAGTTTTTGGGTATCCAGATTTACACATATTCACTAATGTAGTACTTGAATGTAAGTTTCTGTATAATATTGCTGATGTAAGCTTTGGTTGCAGCTTGGTACTTTAACAAATCGGAGGCCAATAGAAAGATTGGATCTCCTTCGAATTAGAGACACAAAAGAGGTACTTAATGTTAATCGATTGAGGAATTTTAGGGTTTAGGTTAGCATGTCTGGTGTGGACGCTAACAATGTAGACCAAAAGATGATTATAATCAGAACTCTAGGAAAGGAGGGAAATGATTTAAAAAAAATGTCCGGTTTGCTGGATTAGCTTTGTGAAGCTTCCAATTGCCCATTGTAGTGCAGATGGGCTTGTCAACGGATCTTTCGTGTACATGGGCATACTATGACTACATTTCTATTAACTTTTTGTTGCACTACTCATAATTTGCTTTTATTTGGAAAATCGAATTATTTCCTGCTTTTGGTAGCAATAATTATGAGCCAACCTAAATTTGTACATTTAACCCCTTTCCAATTAATTTTTTGGGTTTCATCTTTGCAGCGGTTAAGGCTTGGACTCATTTACATGAAAACGGAAGAACGAGGTTGTCAACTGCAGTAAAAACAAAATGTAACAGGTTTTTGTACTTCACTATTTGATTACACATTATGGGTTATATTCTTACAGGCTGTTCAGTATTATTTGATCCACTCTATAAGAGAGGTAGGAGATCCCATTTACTGTAACATGGGATTGAATGCAAATTGAATACAGATGTAACAAATGCATTAGTATTTTCTTATGCTCTTTGTGTCTTCGTGAATGTCTGACTTTCTGCTCCCACCTTATATTAACTTGGACTTACTGATTCCAATAGAAGTGGATAAGAAGGTTTAGATTGAGTGTTAGCAGGCAATATGGACTTATTTTACAGTTTTTGTTGAACAATAAAACCCTTTTTTTATATGGGTTTTAAATATTCTCTCACTTTATAATTTCTCCTTTGAAATGCAAATTGCATTATTTCATGAAATGACATGCCTATATTTTTACAGACTCTAGAATTTATATAATTTTCGTAACTCTCTTAGTCACCTTTCAATAAAGAAGGCTACCTAACAAAATTCTCTTTTAGCTCAAGAAATAATTTTTCCATTTCTTTACATGTTATCATATTTAGTGGGGACTGAGTGTGCATACTTTAAAATTTTAGGCAGTTATTTATTATTAGATGTTTTTAGTCAAAAAGTTATTATGAATATGTTTAAACTAATTTCTATTTCTAGAAACAAAGAATTACTATAAATAGCAGGGAGACTTGAACTCATTTTAACTAGAGTTAGGGCAGTTTAGTACAGATTAGAAGTATTTTATTTATTTATTTATTATTATTATTATTTAATGGGATATATTAGGAATTTCATGTCCCAAATTCACCCATTCGACATCTTTAGGGATAACCAAGTCATTATGTGTATTTAAGTTGTTCCACTGGATATGTATTGTTAGCATATATCATTAATATAGGTAACTAAAGCCAAAACGTTGGGAAATAATAGTCTAGGACAACTCAATAAAGGGCTTGAAAACTACACACGAGTCATGACAGTCGAGAAAGACAAAAATAAATTAATATACCAATTATAACCGTAGTGCAAGATGAGGGAGAAATTTTTATCAATTTAAAAAGTTAATTGTAATTAATCTGCCATGAGAGCACTCTAGTGTGAGTTCGAATTCTCGATCATTAAAATCTACTAACACTTAACAATTGAAATTAATAACACATTTTTCGTAAAAGTTATTATTATTATTATTTCCCTCCACTAGAAACTCATTCCCATTTATCTAGAAAAAAACAAAACAAAAAGTTGCGCACCCATTTACTTACATAAAGACGGGCACTTGTGTTTTTCAATTTAGTGAAAGAGCTGGGCCTGAAATCTAACAAGATCTTACCAAACACTTTTAAGAACTATTAAATTGACATGAACCCGCGCGTTTATTTTCACAAACTAACTTCTTAGCTTGCATTAAATCATCTATCCACACACAATTGTCCAAATCATCCCTATTTGGATTTTGGAGCGTGTGTATATATATATATATTGTTTCACTTACAAAGTACAAACATCACGGCGTCAAGACTTCACATTAATAGGATTGCAAAAAAAAAAAAAAAAAAAAAATCCCTTAACTTTGATTTTATCTTGGAACAGTAACGATAATAAAAAATAATAATAAAAAATAAATAAAAAAAATTTGAGTTTGAAGGGTTTTAGCTTCCACTTATTTAGCTTTGAGCTTGTGCAATATATCATTTAAATTATTTTATTATATTTTCTTAATTTATGTATTATTTTATTTTTTTCTTGACCAAAAACTCAAGTACACATTTGCTTTTATGGCAAGGATGGACTCATAAAATTATGTGAATTGGAGCTTTTCTATAATTTCAGTGGAGGCAATTTTGATATTTTATAGGTATATAATAATAAAAAAAAAATCAAGGTACATAATACCAAAAATAAATAAATAAAAATGAAGTGTTGCAAGATTGAGAAACAAACTTGCTAGTTAAAAAAACATTAAGAGATACCAAAATTGGTGTTTCCGGACCTCTTTTCTTTTCGGCAACAAATGTGGTATTCAAATCACAATAGAAGTTAGTTAAAGTACATTACTTGCAACACAAAATATGAAACAAAAATAGTTGTCAAAAAGGTCTAAATGATTAAATACAGTATAAGATAAGAGTTCAATTTTAAACGAGTTGAACCCATTGATTCATGAACAAGTAATTATATATAATCCTTGTTCATGAATCAATGGGTTCAACTCCTTTAAAATTGAGCTCTTATCTTATACTGTATTTACTCATTAAGATCTTTTTGACAATTATTTTTATAAATTTAAAATTTTCAGCCATTAAGATCGTGGTCTGATAATATGGACAAGACTTGCCTACTCATTACTGAGTAGGTTATTCCTACTGATCGCTGATGTATGTTTGTGATTGAACCACATCAGCTGTTTAGTAAAAATCACATATACACCCATGAGTAGATAAATCTTATATTATATTACACTATTGATCCATTAGGAGGGATACAATCATCAATCTTAATAAAGACATCAACACAACATGCAATATGATTGTCAATAAGATCAAACATTGAATTGGTCCAAGAAAAGTTGCTGAACAATATACAGCCATTCATTCTTATTTAAGATGATCAACCCACCATTGCCATAGATAATTGCGTAACCATTTCACATCAATTGCATGGCCAATATGCTCTTCCTCTTGCCTAAATGGTATAAGTTCGACATTGAATGGTTTGAGTCTTAACAAAATCAAAATACGAAAAATGATATACTTGACAACTAATTTTATGAACTATAACTCACTTAATGTGATAATAAGTTACAAAAATAGATAGTTTAAGAACTTATTGGACTCTATCTATTGGGATAACTACAAAAACAAATGGATTTTTGTTACACCTGTCCCAAAATATATTGTTTGGTGAGTGTGAATGCTTTTAACTTTGCAAAAAAAAAAAAAAAAAAGAGAATGGAAAAATAAAAATAAAAAATTGAATGGCGGCAAAACCCTTGGTAAGTCAACTAACAGAGAGGGCCCTCCCAATGAGCATTGCCAGCTGGAGACGCGTTTCAGGTGATAAGTGGCCCATTCTTTGTTAGTTGGTAGTTATAACACAGACAGCCACTCTGCTTTTACAAAATTGCAATGCGTATATCTCACTATCCATTGATTCCATTCTTTTCCAAACACCAAATTTTCTCATTCAAGCCTGCACGTTCTTCTCTAACATGCATCCAACTCTCTCTCTCTCTCTCTCTTACAAATCTCTCTCCCCATAGTTCAAAAAACATTACCACCTTATCAAACACTTCCATTTCTCTCCTAACTCAAAAAACACATCACTAGCTTAGTAATCTCTTTCCATTTCTCTCCCCTGCAAAAGTTGCTTTTGGCATATATAGCACCCACAATGTCCTCCAATCCATCATTACCACCACCAGCTTAACGCCACCATACACTTGGTTACCAACATCAAAATAATGGGAGGAGCCAAACATGGAACATCAATACCTCACTTCCTCTCCTTCCATTCCCTTATTTTACTCTCCCTCCTCTTGTTTCACATAGATAACTCCTTTTCCTCCCTCTCAGTGGTAAAATATACACCTACTGATAGTTATCTCATCGATTGTGGCTCACCCCAAACCACCCCTCTCGATGATGGCCGGACTTTTAAGTCCGATCCTGAAACCGCTTCTTTCCTCTCCACAGACGAAAATATACTTACTTCCATTGATTCCATTCCCGACAATGTTCTTTCTTCTTCTCTTCCTTTATATAAAACAGCGCGGATTTTTCGCGATGATTCATTGTACAGATTTCTTATCATTCGCCCTGGCTGGCATTGGATTCGTCTATACTTTTATCCACTTCCGCACCCTTCTTATAATCTAACAAGTGCTGTCTTCAGTGTCGCCACAGATAGTGTTGTTCTTTTGCACGACTTCACATTGAAAAATAATACCACAGTGGTGTTTAAAGAGTACCTCATTAACATCTCCTCGGATGAACTCTCCCTCAAATTCTCACCCATGAAGAATTCCTTCGCGTTCATCAATGCCATCGAGCTTGTTTCTGCTCCTGATGCTCTCATTTCCGATTCAGCATCAGCAGTTTCTCCGGTTGGTGACTTCAATGGATTGTCCAATTATGCGCTTGAAGTGTCTCACCGGTTAAATGTTGGAGGCCCAATTGTTACTCCTGAAAATGACACCTTGTGGAGGACTTGGCAACCTGACAACCAGTTCATGACATTCCCACAAGGGGCAAAAAGTGCGGCTGTTGCTCCGGACACTGTAAAGTATTCAGAGGACGGCGCAACCCCTTTCATTGCCCCCAATTGGGTGTATGCCACGGCTGATCAGATGGCGGATTCTGGAGTGGTTGAAGCAAACTTCAACCTCACTTGGGAGATTAGTATTGATCCAAGCTTTTCTTACTTCATCAGAATGCATTTTTGTGACATTGTGAGCACAGGCCTTAATGAGCTTTACTTCAATGTTTATGTTAATGGGATGATGGGTGTGTCAGTTCTTGATCTCTCAACACTTACATCTGGCCTTGCTGTCCCTTATTACAAAGATTTCGTGCTCAACGCCTCTGCCATCACCAATGACTCCATAACGGTTCAGGTTGGCCCGGTTTCTAGTGTGCATTCAAGCCTCACAAATGCTATTCTCAATGGGTTGGAGGTCATGAAAATGAGCAACTCAGCTGGGAGCTTGGATGGGTTGTTTTCTCTAGATGGGAAATTCCAGGGGCTGCATTCAGGGCCTAATACAATGAAAATTTTCGAGTCTGTTGGCTTGGCAATGGGCGTGATGGCTGTGTTGTTGCTTATAATTGGCATTGTTCTATGGCAGAGGGGACCTCGGGATTGGGGGAAGAGGCGAAGCAGCTTCTCGTCGTGGCTGCTCCCTCTCAACTCCAGCCACTGCAGTTTCTTGTCCAGCAAAAGCAAGAGTAGCTACTCGAGTTATTTCTCGTCTGGACTTGGTCTAGGGGGGCGGTTTTTCACCTTCAGTGAACTGCGCGATGCAACAGAAAACTTCGATGAAAATGCAGTAATTGGCATTGGAGGGTTTGGAAAAGTGTATCTCGGAGAAATGGAGGATGGAACAAAGGTTGCAATTAAGCGCGGGAACCCAAGTTCAGCACAAGGCATTAATGAATTCCACACAGAGATACAAATGCTCTCCAAGCTCCGCCATCGCCACCTTGTGTCACTTATTGGATATTGCGATGAACAAGCGGAAATGATCCTGGTTTATGAATATATGGCTAATGGCCCTCTTCGTGACCACCTCTACGGCTCAACCCTGCCTCCTTTACCATGGAGACAACGGCTTGAAATCTGCATCGGTGCAGCTCGTGGACTGCATTATCTCCACACTGGTGCAGCACAAGGCATAATACACCGTGATGTGAAAACCACAAACATTCTTCTGGACGAAACTTATGTCGCCAAAGTTTCTGATTTCGGCTTGTCTAAGGCTGCACCCTCACTGGAGCAAACTCATGTTAGCACTGCAGTAAAGGGCAGCTTTGGGTATCTTGATCCTGAATACTTCAGGAGGCAACAGCTGACAGAAAAATCTGATGTTTACTCTTTCGGAGTAGTCCTGTTTGAGGTATTATGCGCAAGGCCTGCTATAGACCCTAAATTGCCTAGGGAGCAGGTTAATTTGGCTGAGTGGGCGATGCAACGGCACAGGAAGGGCTTGATGAAGACGATTATCGATCCTCATCTTACCGGTAACATCAGTTCAGAATCACTAATGAAGTATGTTGAAGCAGCAGAGAAGTGTTTGGCAGAATATGGTGTTGATAGACCTTCTATGGGAGATGTATTGTGGAATTTGGAGTTTGCTTTGCAGCTTCAGGAAGCATCCTCACAACTTTTCAATGATGCAGAGGAGCTCATTAATTTAGAACCACTACAAGGAAAGGACACTAAAGGAGGCCCAAGTTTAGACATCAGTGATGACTCTGAAGTGGTAGTTTGTTCTCCTTTGTTTACAGAGACTTTTCAGGGGAGGTAAAAGTCAGAGTCACAACAACAATTTGTCTTCTACACTTTCTTGAAAATGGAATTGAAGAAAGGAATTGAAAAAGTCCACTCCATCCTGCTTTTTCGATTCTAAGGAATCTGCTTTTAGATTTCTCAAGTAGAGAATGGCGAAGATGCCATGCGATCAGCGCCACAAAATGGTTTAAATTATATCTAAATCCTGCAGCGAATTGTTTTTTTGATTGTGTTGTGCACAAGTAAATTCCTTTCCTTTATGAAGTTGCTCCCTCAAAATGTTTTCATCCAGTTTGATGGTTATTGAGTGAAGAACTTCAAAAAAAAAATTGTAACCCTTTTTATGTCCTTCAAGATTTAAAAGTTATTACCAAGTGTCTGCTATGCATAGGTTGCTCACACTAAATACTAAATTATCTTGTCAGTTTGAGACGAAACAAACTAAATAAACCATGAGAAAATAGACGATTTGGGGAAGTCTTCATTGCTACTCCAATTTAGATGGTGTCATCAATTCAGAGATACATCTTGTTTCTGAGAGAAGAGGCCAGCCCTCTTAGGTCCAGGGTCTACATGTTGAACCTCATAAAACTCGAAAATATGACGATCATTCACAACAAAGGAAAAAGAAGACCAAAAAAATAAGAAGAAAGAAAGAAAGAAAACAGTGTATCTGTATATATACAGCAAGAGTTTTTTATTCACAAGCAATGTCAATACTTCTTGCTCAACTTCTTCTCTCATGAACTTGGGGCCCCTAGTTGTATAATAAAAGCAGCACAAAGATCAAGGAAGAGGAACTGCGGACCGCTGACTCTCTGTAAATCAAGAAGATACTTATCCTCGCGAGTTTTGTACAACTGTCATTTCAGATGAATAGATGCATATCAGCCACAGCAAGTTAATGTCAAAATCTAACTTAAAATCATTTCCTGTATATCAATTTTAGAAGACTCGTGTTCTTGTAAGTACCATATATGCTTCATCATTCTTGTTGCAATCATTTGTACTAAACACTGAGGATATACAAAAGTTCTAGTGTGAACTGCCACTTTGTTTATGGGCATTGTAGAAATGATGCGGTATTATCCTAATCACTCTTCTCACATTATGGTAAGTAGTGTCAAAATCTTAAATTAATGATGTAATATCATCTAAATAGATACCATATTATTGATGATGTAAATCTTATTAGAAATGAAGGAGAGTGTTCTCAAATCAAGTGTTCCCAAGGGTATGATCAGAATCACGTTTGGAAATGACAAACTGCTGAGTTAAGCCAGTCTAGCAGGTTCTGCATCACCATATAAGTGCCATGCATAAGTCCGGTGTTTAGGAACCCACACCTTGAATATGAGGTCCGGATGCATGAGAGCACTTACAACAGTAACCAAGATAGGAAATAGAAGGGAAAGAAAGAAGGATAAATAGTTACCTGCACTTCAAACTTCATGATGACCTGAGACTGAAAATCATTTTCAATAATGGCAGATTCATTACTGATGTACTGGTTATCATGTAAATGATTGCTAGCCACGCTTTCACAATGATGGAATGCATGCAACCACAGACATTTCATGTTATAGTGCCCGATCTTTTTCCAACGAACATTCAGCTCTTGCAGAGCTCTGAGAACCTGCGTCATTATCTCACGAGGATGGGCTGGAGACTGACAAAGTAACAAACAAACAAAATCAATTACACTTGTAACAATATATTTTAATAATGGTTTAGAAGAATTCTGGATTTTAGGTCAGTACAACTGAGGTGGGAAAAGTTCGTACATAATGGGCTCCGTATATTAAATCTAGTCTGTGTTTGTGTTTTTATAAGTTGGGTAAGTTAATTGTTTGAGTTACCTCTTTCAAAAGGTTAAAAGGATTCAAATATTAAACAAGGACAAAGAGGTAGTTTCAACTCTGAAATTTGTACCCTCACCAAATTAGGGTTCAAATGCATCCATTCATATCATTACAAACGCTAGGGTTTGAAAATGATACGTTTTGATCCTTAAAATATATTTTTAGAATGCATAAAATGGCTTCGGAAACTTAATTTATATTTGGAGGAGTTTGATCGATTAAAGGATCCCTTGAAGCCCACTGGACTAGGTTCGAACAATTGAACCTGACCTTGATCGACGAAAACCTGCAGGAAGGTAATTTCCAAATATAATTCAAACTATCTGAACCCTAATCCCTTCCTACTCCAAAGCGTATATAAAGACCTTGGGTTTTCAGAAAAACCAACAAAAACTAAGAATATACAAGCAATGTGAGGCACAATAGCATTAATTCTAGTACTCAAATTGCTATAATCTATTTCTTTCATACATTCATCAATTCATTTAGATGGCGAGTGTATTTTGAGTGTTGACGATTATCAAACCTATAGGTATAAGGAGTTCAACACCACAAGAAGATTCCACACTGCAACCAAAGTTGATTGGATATTACTAGTGAGGGAGATCAAAGCACTAAAGGAAGAGCAGACTGCGTTAGTAGCAAGGTTGTTGACTGGTAGCAACTAAGTTGTAGAAGAACATTAGAGGTGATCAGAAGCAGCTAGGGGACTTTTGGCTTAGAATTTGGTAACCCAGTTTGTAAATCTTTATTTACATAGTGATTTTGATGCCTGACCATAGTTCGGAGAACTGGCCAATTCGTAACCCACCAATTCCGAGTCTCACAGAAAATTGGTAAGATTCAAATATCAAACCAGGTCGAACGGATAGTTTTGACTTTGAGTCATAACTATCCGGTTCAGCTGTAAATAGATTATTCACACATGAACTTGCCAGTTCACATACGAACTGGCCCGGTTCCCTAACTGGTCTCCTTGCAGTCCCAACAGTTTTTTTTTTTTTTTTTTTTAATAGGAAAAGAAAGAGGTTGTGCTTGCTGGGACTCACACACAGGTCAAGCACATGGAAGGGAAGCACTTAACCGTTAAACTACAAGCACCAGTTGTTAAAAACTACTCCGACCAGAAATTTTATTCACTTTTTTTCACTCCAAAAATACTCCAACAAGCTTGATTTGTTCTCTTCTTGCTTCCAAGGGCCAAACCATGCAGCAAATACTTGCGATCTAGACTCAAAAATTAAATTTTGAACTTCCAAATTTCGAAATAAGCAACAAGTTTCATTTTTTAAACTTGAACATGTTATTTCTTTGTAGATCTATAAGAATAGTTACTAGTTAGAATTTCAACTTTCAAGCTTCCGAATCTTGCAATTTTTCAAAAAAAATAAAATAAAATTGGCCCCTTCCTCAAAAAGAACAATATTTATCTTTGATGGAAAGTTATCAATGATAATTTAATAGAAAGAGCATCTTATATATGTTATTATATTATATTTATTTTTTACTAATTTATTTGAATTTTCAAAATTATTATTATTATTTATTTCCTGCTTTTTTTCTCACCTAATTTTCACTCACAAATGGTAACTTATTTGTGATATACATGTTGTATATGTTACAACTGAATTCATGAATAGATCACTACTTGTGTTAATAAATCTTAAAAAATTCAATAAAATTCATTAAAAACAATTTTTTTTATTGAATTATGTTGTAAAAAGTTAAGTATCTGTGTATTTTGGGCTCTATGAGCGGCACAAAAAAAATTTCACGTATGCAATAACCGATTCTATTACGTTACGTCAGTACGCTTTCGTTATAGCACTTTTGCATCTGCAACTACAAACCTTGGCTTGAACTAGGTTTAGTGGTTTTTTCCCAATGAGGTTCTAACGAAAAAAATTGGTCTGTGTGTGAATGATTTAATGTTTTATGCTTTAATATCCGCACCATGCATATTTTTAAATTAGGAAAAAAATATATTTTTACATGCTTGTTTGTTGAAATTTGTAATTAAGTTAAAATTAGTTTAAAATTAAAATTTCTGCTAAAAGTAATTATTTAGTTTACAAGACCGATTCATCGCCTCCCCCTTTTTCTAGGTCTAGTTTGGGCCATTCTGCATACTCTCCCATCAGAGAGTGGGGGTTATGTTCCTGTATCATCAGTGGTAATTTCAATTATTTAGCACTAAACAGATCACTAGGGCCAGTAATTGAAACAATCAGAAACCATGGTTATCTAGCCTATTTCATGTACCAGAAGGAAACCTATTTTATTCCTCTAGAAGACCGTGGAACACATGCAGATGGTTCAGATAAACTAAATGAGTGATTCATTCATAAATGAGTCGTAGAGCTTACGAGCTGCAAAAAGGGAATGCTTCTCTGCATTTACCCATCATGACATGATATAAAATAAAATCAAATAATTTGAACCTGCAGTCCAAGAAGCCATTTTCTCTGACTTGGCAACTGGAGCCTCAAATTAGTCTCCTGATGTAAGTAAGGCACAGCAGCCAAATGTGACACATCATCTGGATGCACACCAGCTGAACCACATTCCTGGAGAGACACAGATAAACAAGTTTGAGATAAAGCCTATAAATCTGGAATATACATATTATATAACTGGAAACATATCCAACAAATAGATGCCATTCAACCAGACTACAAGGATGGGTACTTGTGCAGGAAAGATGGAAAGCATGTATGGGGCCTAAAATTGATACAGAAAGAACAGTGGAAAAGGTGGATATTAACTCAAGCTCTCGATAAAAATTGCAAATTATGGATTTTACCTAGTTGCAAGCAAGGCCCACACAAGAACAGCCTCGCCCAATAACCAACCCCCCCACCCAAACACAAACACAAAAAAATTTATAAAAAAAAAATCAAACATCACATCACAAGCATCACCACATAGACATGTGCGCATAGAGAAAATGAAGCAAAAGAAGAAACAAGAAATGGAGACTGTGAAGAAGTATAAACAGGCATTTGCATGCATGCAAACACATAATATCGAAGACCCGGAATTATTCTAAATATGCATTTGGAAAACCTTTTATACAATAAAAAAGAGCCTTAAATTTTTTTTTTTGAAGGAGTTTAATTTAACAAAGTTGTGAAGAGATAATTTACAAAAGCATGAGTCTTATGCTTACGATTTTCTCACACTTTAAGGTAATACTTTTCCCTAAAAGTGTGCCAAAGTCATCATATCACAATGGTGAAATGGCATCATAAAGAAAGGGGTAGCTAAGGGTTGAATTCTTATCATTGTCTTCCTTTCAAGTATCACCTTCTGATATAAACCACAAACATATACTACTATGGCCCCATTTGATCTGATACATCACAGACACAACTTCAGACCAGAAACAAAACAATGGATAGTTATTTTCACTTTTAAGTAAGCCATGTAGCAGAACATTTTCCATGAGCAGAAAATAAAGAAACATAGTAATGCAAGCTTCTAGTACTACTGGCTTTGTAGGTAGGAACTGGGAAGTATTGTATTAGACATGCAACACCACTGCAATATGTTTTATATATAAAAATTTTAAAAATTATGGAGTGCACCAGCAACTGATAACTTCACAAACAAACTCACTATGGACTCCTGAAATTCAGCTCCAAGATAGCCACTGGAAACAGGGGACCGGTTGTCAAAAAGCAAATAATATGCAACAGTAGCCTGAAATAAACATTTGTGAGACATACAACCACGACAAAAATAATAAAAAGTGCAAAACTATACATGTATCATAAATGGGATACATCATTTTGTATTCTGTTTTGAAGAGATTCAAGCAGCAGGTTCTTGTCAAATCCCATCTTAAGCACTTCTTGAAGAATATCCTCATCAATCTGCAGATTATAAGCAATTCAGATCATCATCTAATTATGCAAAGGAGACATAGTAAAGCAAGAATCTATGCATCAAAACTGCTAGACCATATTAAGAAGCAAAAAGAAAATGGGAGCCTTGAATTACTGCAACCTTACTAAATGAATTTACTAATACTTAAACACCTTCACATCCTTGTTCAGATAATGTACAGGGAATCAATAGCCCAAACTGGTAACTATTTACAATGTGAGGAATAAATTCTGAATTGGCCTATTAATATTCTTGTACCTTCCTGGACTCTACTTCCCATCTTTTCCACTTTGCAGTCAAAAAGTGAAATTTGGAAAGGTAAATGTGGAATGCAAATTTTGCCTTAGCCAAAAAACTCTAATCTGAAATCCTTTAAGATGAACTACATGAATATAACTAAGACTTGAGGATTACCAGTTCATCTTTTGTATCCTGTCAATACCACTTTCCAGTCAAAACTACGTCTCACTAAAAATCTAACAATTTGAATCAACATTGAGAAACAAGAGCTTTCAAATAGAATCACTAAATGCCAGTTAGTAGTTAAGACATACCATCACCATTAACTTTACCTGTTCTTTCAAAGTTTAATGCATGAAACCTTTTTCCTCTATAAACCAAATTAATGCACATAAGATGATTAGATATTACTTAATAATGCCTTGTTCATGGACTGCTGCTTATACCAAGTCAATAGCATTCATGAGTGCAACACATCATTAATGCATTCCATTCTTTTATATTCCTAATAAAATGTCATAGATTTCATAACATTATACAAACCAGATAAAGAATTACTAAAAGAACAGGAATATTTTAGAACCAGAAAATACTTGTCTAGCTTGAAAACATATTAATCATAAAATCATTAATTAATGCTAACAATTTAATAAGTACCCAGAAACATACCTTTTTAATATGTTGCATTGCATCTGGTGGAGGAACAGCTAAATAGCGAGGAAGATGGACTTTGAACCAATGGTGCTGACGGATCTCGGGAATAGTTATTCGCTTCATAGGGTCTACCACGAGCATCCTAGGTATCAAATCCCTTGCTCCAGGTGACAAATGACTTGGAAGTGTGTAGATTCCATCCTGAATGACAATGTGATGCAATAGGATGATCAACTACCCAATTAAAGTTACATTACGCCAAATAAACTGAAAGGCAAGTTTCACCTGAATGCATGAACGCTGAGTTCCATAGCAATCCATAAATTGATAATATCTACTATTCTTAAAATCCAAACAGTATATTTAGCTTATTTTGAAATATCTGAGCTCAAAAAAGGTCATAACAATACCTTTATTTTCTTGAAGAGATTGGGAATGTTTTCATCATCAAAAGGAAGTGTACCACAAAGAAGAGCATACAAGATAACACCACAACTCCAAACATCTATCTCAGGCCCAGCATACAGTTTACCAGAAACAACCTGCACAAAAGTTTATGCATTAGAGCCCCATTATTACATCCACTAGCCTTAAGCAGAATGTTGTCTTATTTTAATCCAGCAATAAATGATGACCAATGGCGTTATTCAAAACCTCTGGAGCAGCATAGTTCGGGCTTCCACAACTTGTCTTTAGAAAATGGCCATCACGCATAATATTGCTCAAGCCAAAATCTGCTATCTTCACATTGCGCTTGGAATCTAAAAGCAGATTCTCGGGCTTGAGATCCCGATGAACCACCATGTTTCTGTGACAGTACTCCACCCCAGAAATAATCTGTTTTCAGAGAAATAATAATAAAAACAACAACAATAATAACAAAAAAAATAATAAATAATGAGTAGCATTATAATGGAAAGCTTGCACCATATCATCCACTAATTACCATTCTAAAATCATTGTTCTTTCCATATTTAGCTTTTGCCATAATTCCATCCTCATTATACTTTCTAGATCGTTAATTTTGATAAGCTGTGAATTAGATTTCCATACCGCTTCACAGTGGGTATTGGTGTTACTTGAGTTAGTTGACTATGCATCTTATGCAAGCATACATTGTATCAAACCCATAGTCCGTGGTTTTTTTATGCATAAGGAAAAACAATACGCATCACAAATAAGCAACCTCACAATCATAAAAACTATAACAACAAATAATAATTTCCATAACGTTGCATAAAAAAGTAAAAAAACTTGAATGAAAGGAAAGAGAAATTATAGGATAAATTGAGAAAGTGCCTACAGAAGGTGAAGGTTATGGTAAGAGCTTTTCACCATCGCATTTCAGCAAACAACAATAATACTTATCACAAAATAATAATTACTATAAATACAAAAAACGAGAATGGTATCGACATTGACAATTACAACAATCATAACAATGACAATTGCAATAATATTATGTAACTAAAATAATATTGATGGCCACAACATCGATATTCTTCACTATTTGGTTGTATAATAGATGTAGTAGGCAAAATCTCATTCAGGAAAACTTCTCAAAAAAAAAAAAAAAATCTCATTCAGGAAAAATGGAAAAAATGCTACCTGCTGGAAGAAAGACCGAGCTTCATCCTCTTGTAACCTACCCTTCTCTACAATGTAATCAAATAGTTCTCCGGACTTCACATACTCCATGACAACATATATATCTGCCGGTGTCTCTATCACTTCATAAAGTCGTATTATATGTGGATGCACAAATAATCTACATATTTTAATTTCTCTTCTCACTGCAGAACATCAAGTACATTAATATTTTTGAACATCAAGTACATTAATATTTTTGAAAGTCTCATTTACAGTTCTCTTAATAAAACAAAATCCAATAACAGAAGTACAAAGAGGAATAAGCATCAATTTAGTTTTTATCAACATCAAATAATTGGCTCCTAATTAGGGCTGCAAATGAGCTGACACGATCCGACCCAAGCTTTAGGTTGTTCGGGCTTGGCTCACCTAGGCCAGAAGGGTGTTCAAGCTTGGCTCGAGCTAAGCTCAGCAGTTTTTTTACGAGCTCAAGCTCAGCTCGGCTCAAGCTCGTGTGTGTATATATGTGTACATATATACATATATATATATATAACAAATGAAACAAGTCTAAAATACTGCTTTCAGAGACACAAAATGCCACCATCTCCTTCAAATTGCTTCTGAGTTCAACCATTTATTATTGATCTTCACCAATCTTCATTGTCTCCTTCACAAGCTTCAAATTCCAACCATCAATCTCCGATTCCACCAACAATATCAGCGAGGAAATAATATTGAGAGAGAGAGAGAGAGAGAGGAGCAAAGTAGCCTTTGATGTAGCTGGTGGAGTTGAAGGCAGGCCGGTGCAAAGGCGAGGGGTAACAGAAACGTTGTTACTGGCTTCTTGTGGCTATGATTTTTAGGGTTTTCATATCTAACCCTTTACTATGTTATATGTATAAAACCAATTCGATGGTTGAGATGAAACATGACTTGGCCATTGGGCTGCCTAGTTAATTGGACCTGATTTGTAAATGGGCTTCAAAAAATTAAAGTATCAATGGGGCCAATAAAAAATATATATGAACATGGGCTAAGCTTGTATATATGGGTTAGGCTTTTAGATATAATACATTGAATATAATTTATTTTTATTTATAACGAGCTTGTTCATGAGCTCAATGACCTGAGCTTAACATTGTTCAAGCTCAGCTCGTTCACTTAATGAACGATCCTGAGCCGAGCTTTTAACGAGCCGAGCCTGAGTTATTCATGGACAGCTAGGTTCATTTGCAGCCCTACTCCTAATCCAACAACAATGCTGTGAAAATCAAGGAAATCTTCAGAAGAAAGTGAAGTATGCATCGAAACACACTGTCATACCTTTCTCCTCCATTTCAGGGCTCCTCATTTTACGGCGATTCAGGATTTTAATAGCCACTTTGTACTTCGTCAACGCATGCTCTGCAATTTTAACTTTACCAAATGAACCATGGCCAAGAGTTTTTCCAAGCTTGTAGTTCCTTAGAAGCACATCAGTGTTGCCGCCTCCCCTGCCTATCGATCCATCCATATTCCTGTTGTAAAAGAATCGCAACAGAAATTCAGGACATATTGTCTAAAATCAAGAGAATAAAAAGCACTTCCATCACAATGCTTGCATGACTGATTTAGAATTGTTTTGATACATGATGACCCATACAAATTGTAACAAGAGTATCATCTAAATTGTTTCTCGGTGTGTTGCAGTATAGACATAGAATGTGATTCTATTGGACAACTACACATGAAGTAGCAAGCTTGAAGTTGGTTTGGCAACTGGATATTGGGGTTATATTTTTCCTAGGTTCAGACATATTAATCATTACTGATAGCCATTTGGATTTTGGGAATCTAGAAAGTTTGAACTTACCCTTGCTAAGTTTATAGTTGATGTCTAAACAAAGATGGATTAACTTTAAGGGTTAATTTGGCCCGCAGGAACTAGGCTTGAAGGGACTCAAGGAATCAGGTTGATTGTATTACGGACTAAAAAGAAGGAAGATTTGTTGGGTCATTCCTTGAAGGGAGAAAATATCATCACAATGATCAAGAGAAAGATCATTATTTTAAAAGTGAAACCTGCTAACAACGATGCTGAAGGTAGGCAGACGCATAAGCTACATTATTAAATAATTATATAAAAGATTCTAAGAATGGTATGCAAAAGGGCGTAATTTTGTTATCAGGGCAAAGTCAAGAGAATTCATCCATCTTGGTGCATAAGAAGGTTATTAGGTTTAGAAGGGATTACATTTGTGCATAAAGTGTAAAAATACACCTACAAATTCTAATATTATGTGTATAAAAATTGAATTGTAAGTTGATGCACGGAGGATGTTACAACAAACACAGCAAACCCAAGATAAAACCAAGAAACACAACAGCAAATAAACACGCCACACGGAAAGAACACAAAGATTTAGCGTGGTTCGGCAAAGCCTACATCCATGGTGGATATCCAGTGAAAGTTTTCACTATGCGAAATTCTGGAGATTACAAATTTCTGCCTCTCACTCTCTTTCTTTGCGATTTTCAGTGTCTCAATCTACCCCACTCCAAACCCTAAGCACCCTTATATATTGGGCTACAAGAGAGTACTAATTAGGATCCACGACCCACAAGCAAAATGGGTCAAAAAATCATACAACGGGCCGCCGGGTTGTAAACAGTCCGCAACGTGACCCGACACCAAATTCGGGCCACAATATCACAAAGGACAATATGGATTTAAGAATTATCAGCCTATATTTGTATGTCCATACAAGATGTAAACAGGAATGTAGAAGAAGCATATAATAAGATTACATTTTCCCACAGGGAAAAATGTTAGTTACCACATTGTCTCGATTTGGGCTATTATGAGGTGCAATTTGTCAATAATCAGGTAGGAATGCATGCAAATGGTGTGAATGGCGCACACACACACACAAAAATATGTCAGCAGTTACAATAGAAAATACTCTTGCATATATAGTGCTATGTGTGATTTGTTGTAAAGGACTAGGAAAATAGTAAAGAGTGGAAGTCACTATAAGTTAGATAGAAAGCTAAAATGTTCTATACTAGTTCTATCATCAGCTATGGGTCTGAATCTAAGAGAAATTCTAGAGAATGTTTGCTTTCCTGAATTTTTTTTGTCATTTTTGAATGATAAGGAGAAAAAAAATGGGTCAAAAGAAAATACCATTTTGGGGTTTGTTTTGGCAGGTATGTTGGTATGAAGAAACTCAAAGAGAAAATGAGATAGAGTTGACCACTTACCCTGTCAACCTGTTGTGCCAAAAGGAACTATAAGATTACTTTGCTGCTAATCTGCTAGCCATATTGGAAATTCCCCATCTTTGGGATAGGGTGAAAGGTTAGGCTTCTATTGGAGATTGAAATAGAAACTGATCGCATATTGTTTATAGAAACCAACAATATATAAACAAAGTGAAGTAATTAGTCTTTGACCAGGGAATCGAATTTGGATAAAAATTTGAGCAGGTGAATGGGTTTTTTTTTTTTTTTTTTGATAAGTAAGCAGGTGAATGGGTTTTACTGGTTAAAAGAAAGAGAACCGATGTAGATATAGTCCATTTAGACCCCATAGATGTGTATAGCTAGATCTGTGAAATAAGTGAACTGGGCTGTGAAGTAAGTGAGCATGCCAAGATATATTTTCCAGTTAATTAGCAAAGTTAGCTTGATCGGAATAAGGTCTACCTACTTCATATGGTTGCTTGTCTACTACTTTTGAAATAACTCGTCTTTTAGCTAACATCTCTCTTGTGTGATCTTAACGAAAGGAACTACATAATTGAAATGAATATTTGCTAGCTTACAAGATACATTGTGAAAAAGAGAAATATACCGGGGGCAACAAACAAATTGATAGCTTTAATACAGCATCCATATAAATATAGAAAAACTTCAATCAGTTACACATGCTATACAAAAGAACATGTGGTTGTAAGGAAAGCAAACAGAGAAAAAAAATTGCACTAAGGAAAGAGAGAGTTTAAACTTCAATGGATTCTCTACTTAAGAGATAAACAAAAGATGATGGAAAAATTCTCCAATTTCCATTCTAGTCTTTCTAGAAGAGCATAAAACATCATCCACTGTAGCAATTCTTGAAGGTCAATCAAGAAAAGGAATTGCAAGCTTGGAAAGAAAATCCTATCTGGGAAAATCAATCCACAGAAAATTCAGGGGAAAAAAAAAATTTCAATCCCTAGATATAAAGGTGCAGAAGACTAAAACAGGATATACTTGCACATTGTAGGTTGGTATATTTGTTCAAATGAGAAGTCCAAAGAAAGAGAAAATATTCTGACCTTTTTTAATTTCTAAATCAATCATGTTCTCTCACACATTTCAAGATTGTTCCCAATTATTTACTAAAATTATATATCAGTACAATAACATAGCACTAATTTGTTTTTCCACCTGAAGAATATTTAGATTATATTTGTTCTCTCATGTTATTGAAGTTCTCCATTCTTAACACTCTTTTTGGTTGGGTTCTAGGAAGATATTGTAAATCCTTGGATGAACTTCTACAGTTTTTGGATTTGTTGAGGGTTTAGAAGCCCTTTTGGGCTATTCGTTGTTTTTGAGGGATGTGTTCCCCTTTTGAACACTTTTTTTTTTATATAAGTTCCCCTTAAAACATATATACATTTTTTTTTTTTTTTTTTCCAAATTGTTTTCAATTCTCTCCTTGTCATATTTGATTTCTATTGTGCTGCTCATTCCATTCATCAAGTTCATCCATAAAATGCTTTCGATTGTGAGATGAATAAAGTGTTCAACTTGAACAAAATTTAAAATTGATCTTGTGAGCTTGCTTAATGAATATATTTTTGTTATAGTGTTCAGAAAAATGAACATTGTGGGTGCCAAATAACTTATAAAATGAAATTTGAGAAATGAATTATATTGAAATACAGGCTTGAGATGATGTTACTAAATTCGGCCAAGTATGTGAATTTGACTAGAGGATTTTCTACCAAATACTTGGAAGTCTTGGATATTATGTATATTTGATATTGGACCTTTGTCAAGAGGGACTTATGTAAAGATATTTATATTTATTTATTGGAAGATCATTAGTATAATTGTTTAGAGTAGCAAAATTAATATATATTATTAGCACACCCCAGATGCTTGGATGAGTGTTATGTTTTCTGATTGTGGGGTCAAATAGTTACACAATACTTGACAGGTCATTAACAATTCTTAATTATAACAGTCAATCAAGTATGCTGATGCATTTTAAAAGTTCATTTGGCCAGCTAATATTTTCTTCCTTCAGCTTGTAGCAGCAAGAACATTTTCCAATGAATTAAGAACTGACCAGTCAGATCGTAATTTCTTCATCTTACAATCTCTCAGACTAAACCCCAGCTTTACCACATTAAAAAGTGCCAACGAACGTGACATGCAAAGTTACCATCATTTCTGCGTTTATAAAGAATGTTCCCACCGTGTCAGGAAGCACTTGCACAAGCCATTGCCACTTCAGTTTGAAATTTCATTAACCGAACTGTTCAAAAAAAAAACTTGACTCACATTAGCTCACAGAGCATCCTACCCCACTTACACACAGTGTGTATTATATAAACATATATAATATACATATCTTAATTTGAAGTTCTTTAACCACCCATTAAGACCCAGTTACAAAAGCTAAATGCTTTATCTTTATTTCCTTTTCTAAAATTGAAACATAAGAATCGGAGCCTGTTTTTTCAACCCAGCTAAGTAATTGATAATTATCTGAAGCACAACACTTTACCCCTCTGGTTTCCAACTCTCTCTACTCTATCTCGAAAACCTACATAAATATATATAGACAGGGAGAGAATTTTACAGAGAAACTACTTAATCAAACAGACAAACTTCATCAAATCAAATAATAATTAGTTTCACATAAAACAAAGAATGGTCATAATCAATCAAAAAGTTGATCGCATATTATGAAGAGAAAGTCAGCATTGGTAGATCAGAAAATAAGCAAAATCAATTAAATCAAAAGAATATGAAGGCAAAGCTAAAATCAAACGATACCCGAAAGTAGAGTCCAATCACATTCAAGCACAATACGAATCTATCCGCACACGTACAGAAATGTAGTTACAGTAGCGAATTTGAGAGAGAGATTTGGGAATTGAACGAAGAAAAGGAAAGTAATGAGGAGGGTCTGAATTTCATATTTGTATTGTCCGACTCAACGAATCCAGATGGGAGATGGACAAGCGTAAATGTTTTATGGGCTGTTGTGAGACTGGGCTAAACACGATATGGGCTGGGCTTGGGATGGTGGGTTAAAGTTTACATTGTATGGATACCTAAAAGATCTACAAAGCAGCCCAAGGAATAGACACAAGGAAAGAAACAAAGCCTAGTAATGACTTAAGTTGGCCCAAGACAGTTACAGTAATTAAACTACATAAGCCCAAGACAGCTACAAAGGCCCAAGATAAACGACTATGTGGTTAAACCCTCCAGTTGGAGCAGAGGTGTGAGTGAGGCACATGAACATTCCCTCTTTATAATTCTTTCTCATGTCTCACTAAGCATTAATATTTTTGTTGCAAAACCCTAAATTATTATTATATTATAATGGGAAGAGTTGTGTTGAAAAACCTAAATTATATTAAATGCATCATTATTGAAAATTTATTATAAAAAAATTAATAGTATAGACATATTTCCTTCTCTAATTAGATTTCATTTTATTGAATTAAATAAGTAAAATTTTAATATTATATCCTTCCTTCTATGATTATATTTTTTTATTAAATTAAATCAATAAATAATTTTTTAATATTATATATTTTCTTCTCTAATTAGATTTCTTTTTACTAAATTTTAGTATTTTAGACTATTATATTATTATTATTATTAGTCCTACTACTATATTATTAAATAAATTAATATACTGAAATACTAAAACTCTTTATATATTTAATAATATTAACAAAATGAATATTTCTATTTTCTTTTCAAAATTTATTTTTCCCCTCCTTATTTGAAGAAATTTTGCAAGAGCTAGCAAAATATACTCTACTTTTTTTTTTATTATTGGCAAAAAATTCACATACTCACTTTGCTTAAAAAAGACTCGAACCCTCACCATTCATTAAAATACAAGACCCTTAATATACTCTATTATTGAATATGATTGAAAAGTGCCTAGAATACAATACGAACACAGGACACAACCTGATAGCTTTGTAATTATTTTGCAATTTTTAAATAATTATGAACTTCTTTGGGGAAAAAAAAAAAAAAAAAAAGTTTTAGAAAAACAAAAACAATCAGTTTATGTTCGGTTGTTTACGCATTGGCCCATGTTTCAATTTAAAAGAAAACCCATATTGTCTCTTTTTGGTGCTGTCTCCTAATTACAACTCACCCAACTTGTAACTCATCTAACAATCTAAAGTCACCCTACCCCTCAATTGTTGTTTGGGTACTTTTTAGCATTTGTTTAAAAAAAATTATTGTTATTAGGTGCTTGTTGTTATGCTATAACACCAAATATTTTATAGTAGCAAGGAATAAAGGATAATATTTAATACCACATTCATCCTCCATCAAGAAATTTATTATTACTATAAATTTATTATTATTATTATTATTATTAAATTTTTTAATAAATAAAAGAAAATCTATTATGATTTAAAGAAGCATCAAATTGAATGTAACATACTAACAACTCTAACATCAATTCATGCAAAATGATAGATCATCCACTCCGTTTGTGATTTAAAATTGTCGGTTCGACTCCTATGTGGATTGATTTATGCACAAGTTGCACAAATATAAACAAGAAAAAATAAGATTTGATATGATACACATGACAAGATATACTAATAAATAAATTTTATTGGATCAAATCAAATGTCCAAACAAGGAAGTACTTAGTCCACTATTTACAAAAAATAATTACATACCCAGCTAGGACAAAAGGATTTAAAATTGATCTCATTTTGATAGCTAATCAATGTCAAATAATTTATTAATAAGATTTTAAGTATGCCCTTCTATTTGGATCGGATATGCCGACAATACTAAATTACATTTTGTGGATGCACTGATTGAGGCTTTTATTTTATATATATATATATATAAAGATCTCTTTAAATTTTAATAGTTTTATTCACTTCTTGGATATTCAAGGTACTAATTGAACTTATTTACAAATAGTGATATGTCAAAAATGGCTTTTAGTAAATGAATTTTGTCATTTGTGAGAATAAAATAATTATCACGTTTAAAGAGAGGCGGGATATGTTTGGTCGCATAGTGATAGGGAAAAATATAAACCTACCCTACTATCGATAAGATTGAATAGATTTCATTATCAAGGATAATGAAATCAAATTTGGCGTGGTTCAACAAGTAAGAATAATCCTACTATAACTGGAGGAGGTCAAAAGGATTATATCATATCCCGACAAATCTGGTAATAAATCTCCTATGATTTCGCACAAGCGGAAGATAAGGTCAACCATCGACATCAGCGGAACGATTTTGATTCCAATCGACAGCCATAAATAGGGCATCAAGCCATTAAAGAAGGTACGACGTAAAAAACTATGATTAATCCCTGCCTTTTTTTTAGACCTCCGTGACTAATTTGATCGTCGGAGAGCTCTTGGCAGGCACCACACCGGTGCCGTCAAGGTTCATCGATCTTCTTTTCTCTTCCTTGCAGGAAAACGGTATCGTATCGGACTGCGCGAATTTCAGCCTCAACAGTTGGCGCCGTCTGTGGGAATCACGATTCCCTTGAATCAATTAATTACTCGTTGGGTATATACGTTTGCAATCCGGTATGGTTACCGAAGGAACACCGTCGCAGGGATCTGGTCAAAGGGTAGAGTCAAGAGTCGATTCGGGAATACATCACCCGATTCAACGCAGAGATGTTGCAGGTAGAAGAGGCGGACGACAAGGTAGCTTTGACCACTTTTATAGGAGGACTCCAAACCTCCAGATTCTTGTTCTCCTTATCAAAAGAACCTCCCACCAGCATGATAGAGTTGCTGGTCAAAGCGCAAAAACACATCAACGCTGAAGACACCATGAGTGTACGGAAGGAAGGAGAGGACAAGAAGAGGCCAGCCCCTCTCGCCAAGGATGAAAATAATACCAGATATAAAAAATCGTTCTTCAGCCAGAGTGACAGCACATATCATGAGAATGACTCAGATGAGTATACCGACTAGAAATTGTCTCACGGCTAGAATTAGCCTTATCAAGTCATTCACAATAAAGACTGGGGGCATCTTAGTTAATCATTTTAAATGGAGGGTAGCTCCATCACGTGTTATTTTGTTTTTAATAATGATGGTCTTTAATAAAATTCCTTTTAGTTTATACGTCCAGTATCCCCGTACTATAAGGGATAGTAAATGAGTGTCCTGTATTACAAGGACCCGGGCTGAATGAATCTCGTAATCTGTATCCCCGTACTATAAGGGAATAGTAAATGAGTGTCCTGTATTACAAGGACCCGGGCTGAATAAATCCTGTTATCCATATCCCTGGACTATAGGGGAAAAGTATCTTGTATTATCAGGACCCGGGTTGAATGAATCCCATAATCCATATCCATGTAATATAAGGGATAATAAATGAATGTCCTGCGGAAATGACATATTGAAACCCAAGTTTGCATACTTTTCTCATTAAAGGCAAAATTATACATTTTTGATGTACTACAAGGACCTGGGTTGGATGAATCCCATAATTAATATTCCCTTACAATAAGAGATAGTAAATAAAAATCCTTCATTAAAGAGTTGAGCTGAGTAAAACTCGTAAAGTTCAATTCCCTTATTAAAGGGACGAGCTGAGTAAAACTCGTAAAGTTCAATTCCCTTATTAAGAAGTGAAACTTGAAAAGTACTGTTTCCTCGGGTGCCAAAAAAAAAAAAAAAAATTAAAATTATTATTACTATTCATGAACAGTACCCGGCGGTATTGTTCATGCACAGTACCTGAGAGTACTGTTCCCTCGGGTGCAAAAAAAAAAAAAAAAAAAAAAACTATTCAGGAACAGTACCCTCGAGGGTACTGTTCCCTTGGGTGCTAAAAAAATAATAATAATAAAAAAAAGTTACTTTTTACATGAATAGTGTCCCCGGGAATAGTACCCGCGGGTACTGTTCACCGGGGTTTTTAAAAAAAAAAAGAAGAAGAAGAAAGAAGAAAAAGTATTATTATTATTTATTACATTCCCAACACTAGACGTGCAAGCTTGGGAATGGGGGGCAACTGATAGGGAAAAATATAAACCTACCCTACCCTCGATAAGATTGATTAGATTTCATTATCAAGGATAATGAAATCAAATCTGGCGTGGTTCGACAAATCTGGTAATAAATCTCCTATGATTTCGCACAAGCGGAAGATAAGGTCAACCATCGACATCAGCGGAACGATTTTTTTTCCAATCGACAGCCATAAATAGGGCATCAAGCCATTAAAGAAGGTACGACGTAAAAAACTATGATTAATCCCTGCCTTCTTTTTAGACCTCCGTGACTAATTTGATCGTCGGAGAGCTCTTGGCAGGCACCACACCGATGCCGTCAAGGTTCATCGATCTTCTCTTCTCTTCCTTGCAGGAAAACGGTATCGTATCGGACTGGGCGAATTTCAACCTCAACACATAGAATTGGAGGTAACAATTCAGAAAATTGAATTAAAATTTTCTTCAATTTCAATACTTCAATTTCATACAGACAAATACAGTCACTGTAAAATTGTTTTATTATTATTATTATTTTATATAATTTTGTTCAAAATGATAAATTTTTACATTGAATGATAAATTTTTACATTGAAATGCTATGAATATACAAATGAGACTGTTCAATTTCAGGGAATGATCAAATAGAGCCTAAACATTTAACTTAATATTCATACTTCTAAAAATGAAATGATCAAAACAAACATAAAATGAATAAAATCAGAGTAAGAACACAATTTTGTGTGGTCTGATTGTGTGCCTATGTCTATAAAGCATCTCAAAGACTACTCAATGAGCCTTTCGTGGAAGTTTCTTATTTGGCCCTTTGAGATTTGTAAATTTTGTACCAATAATAATTCTTTGGGAGCTCATAGTTTTGTATTTATAATTTTATTCTCAAAGTGCATAAAGAGTCTTAATTTGGTATTCCATATGCCTTAATTTTTTTTTTTT